TTTTGTTTTGTCATGCTGTACAGCTTGTGGGATCCTAGTTCCCTGACCTAGGGATCAAACTGGTGCCCCCTGCAGGGGGAGCATGACGTCCTAACTAACTACTGGACCTCCGGGGAATTCCTAAGCCTGTAAAGATTTTTAAGCTGAACAAAAGTGCTAAAAATAATTTGGGGGAAAGTTGGCTATGACAGCACTGTGTAGCATGGACTGGAGAGAAGTCAGAAAGAGCAGTGAAGTTGTGTGAATCTCTCAAGCAACTGGGGTTCTGTCTTATGGGGGTTCACAGAGAGAGAGATCTGCTTCCAGGAAGTTCATCAGGGAGTAAATTACATCTCTAACAACGCTGGTAGAATGCAGGGGTAACCGAGGCTTAGGATGATCCCAGGGGCTATTACAAGCAACAGTATCCAACTTACAGAGTAGCCTCATCCATGAGGACAGTTATTCTCTCACAAGACTTGAGTCATCACAGACCTGAGTGCTTTCCATATTCCACTCTACCACTCTCACAGTGTCGGCAACATCATTCCTCTGGCCACAGCAGACCGGGCATTGTTTGCACACAACCATATCTAGCAAAGAAGGGTTGTACTTTCTTCCATAGGTCTCTTTTTTTAAGGAAAATTTCTCCTAGAACTACCCCCCACCCCCGCCCCTGCTACTTCCCATGAGGTCCTAACTGGTTCCAAGGGGAGGCTGAAAAAACAAGTATCTAGCAGTTCCCCTCTCAGTGGGGGAATTCTGCCAGCAAAGAACAATGGGGAGTGTGGCAGAAGCATGATTGTTGGGTGGGCTATCAGTAAAGTAAGTGAAGTCGCTCAGTCATGTCCGACTCTTTGTGACCCCATGGACTGTAGCCTACCAGGATCCTCAGTCCATGGGATTTTTCAGGCAAGAATACTGGAGTGGGTTGCCATTTCCTTCTCCAGGGGATCTTCCCGACCCAGGGATCGAACCCGGGTCTCCTGCATTGTAGGCAGATGCTTTACCGTCTGAGCTACCATCAGTAGAATTTGCTATATATTTCATATTCCCTCCCATCTTTCTGGGCTTCCCTGGTAGCTCAGACAATAAAGAGCCTTCCTGTAATGCAGGAGACCTGGGTTCATTTCCCTGGATCAGGAAGATCCCCTGGAGAAGGGAATGGCAAACCCACTCCAGTATTCTTGCCTGTAGAATTCCAAGGACAGAGGAGCCTGGCAGGGCTACAGTCTGGGGAGTCACAAAGAGTCAGATACGACTAACCGACTAACACTTTCACTTTCATTTTCCCATCTTCCTAGGGTCCTCCCTCTTTACTGTGTATTCAGTCTTTCCAAGACTAGCTCCTTTCGATTAATAATTGTGTACAGGCCTCTCCAATCTTTAAAAAAAAAAATCCTGTCTTTCTCAGTCCACATCTCTGTCCAGCTAATGTCCTTTCTTCTTCCTTCTCTTCACATTTATTGACAACCCCTTCTCTAGCTCCCCTCACTCTTCAACCCATTGCCATCTGACTTCCACACAGAAGATCCCATCGAAACACCTCTTGCTAAGCTGATAAGCACTTCCACATTGCTAAAAGCAGTGGACATTTGAAAATCTTAATTAACTTGACCCAACAGCAGCCTTTAATACAAGGGCTTCTCACTCTGTTCTCAAAACTCACTCTACCCTGGGCTTCTCTGGTGTCACAAGCTCTCATATTCCCCCACCCCACCCCAACACACACCCCTGCCTCCCCTGAGTCTCGGTTACCGGTTTATACTTTCCTACACAACCCTCAATCTGTTTTTTGTTTCTTTGTTTTTTTTCCCCTTGCTGTACCGAGTGGCTTGTGGGATTTTACTTCCCTGACCAGGGATTGAACCCAGGCCTTTGGTAGTGAGTGTGTGAAGTGCTAACCTCTGGACTGCCAGGGAATTCCCAAGACCTCAGTCATAACTCTTGTCTTCCCTCATTTTATGTACTCTGTGAGAATCTCCTGCAGAGCCTCAATTATCCCGTGCCTGCTTAACACCCCGACTTGCTATCTCACTAGCACTCCCAACACATGTCTAATATTGAACTCACATCTTCATGCCCACCTCTCCACCTACCTGCTCTTCCTTCAATGGTTCCTATAAATCACAACCTTCTATATGATTTCTCAAGACAGAAACCCAAGATCTCTTCTTGACTCCTCCTTCCTCAAATTCCATAGCTAAAGCCTCTTGAGTCTACCTCTGAATATCTCGAAGGTATCCACTTCTCCATCTCCCTTATACATGGACAGTGGGTTCTTAACCAGTTTCTTCACATTCACCAGTTCCACTTCCATTGCAATCCACTTGAACTGCAGCATACCTGCATATTGATGACACAAATTTTTATCTAATTCCTCTGTTTAAAATTCTTGAACAGCTTTCTACAATTCTTAGGAAAATGCCTGCAATCCTTAACATGATGCCCAAGGCCCTGGATGAGTTATCCTTTCTATCTGTCAGCCTCATTCACACCGTATGTCTCTTTGTATGTTCTAGTCAGGCTGAACATTTTTCAGTGCTTCAAGGGTACTATTCTCATTTGCTTCAGAGCTTTCACACTGCTGTTTCCTCTCTCTGGAATAGTCTTCTCCTTCACAGAGCTAGACTTCTCCTCACATGTCATCTCCTCAGGAAGGCCATTTCTAACCTTGCTATCCATGTTTGGGCTTCCCTTGTGGCTCAGCTGGTAAAGAATCTGCCTGCAATGAGGGAGACCTGGGTTCAAATCCTGGGTTGGGAAGATACCCTGGAGAAGGGAAAGGCTATCCACTCCCGTACTCTGGCCTGGAGAATTCCACGGACTATACAGTCCATGGGGACGCAGAGAGTTGGACACAACTGAGTGACTTTCACATCCATGTTTGGTCACATCATTACATTTCTGAATGTATTTCCCTCTTGTGGTATTCATCATCACAGTCACTTACTCAATGCCTGTCTTCCTTTTCAGGCTGTGCAGTCACAAAGGCAGGAGCTTTGTCTGACTGCCTTACCTCCTTATCACGGCCAGGTATAATGCCTAGTTCATAGCAGATGTGCAATAAAAATTTGATGAATGAGTGAAAGGCTGTGAATGATTCTTCTAATATTTAATTCTAACAGTAGAAATAATTAAAGACATAATTCTGCTGAAAGGGTATATATGTTGATCAAATTTTAAGGAAACTATTTAAAGTTGATGTTGAAATGAACTCTAATTCTTCCTAAGGAATGATATCCTCTGTAAATAGCAACTGTCTGTAATCAGGATTATGTTTCAGTTTATAAGAACACTACATAAGAGGCCTGATTGGTAAAAGCAAATAAAAATCACAATTCAATCTGTTAGCTACTTTTAGGTTAAATACTTGTAGGAAAGGGGTATTTTCAGATGTAGCCCTTCCTTAATCCTGCAAATATTGTCAAATGGCTGTGCTGCTGGAGGAGAAATTAAGTGATGCAGGGTGTACAATATAATAGCCTATGCAACTTTATTTATTTGCCTATGCAACTTTAAATAGACCACAGAAATCTTTAGCTAATAGCTATTAGAGACTGTGTAATTTCATGAAAGTATTAAATTTGGTTCAGTTTTCATTTTAATGGCAACCAACCATAAAGTGCTATATCTTGATAATAGTACTTTGTCATATATCATAGTAAACAAAAGTATTTATTCACTTTTGTATTACCATGAAAAGTAGCTGGAAGAGAAATCATTATCCTCTGCTTCTAACTTTTTTTTTTTAACAAAAGTTTATTCTTAAATGTACAATAGGTTCCAAGATAACACTTCATTCTAGCTATAGGTGGCAGCAGATACTATGGTAGGGAATCCAGGTGTTTAAACAGGAATGGAACTAAGGGTTATCATTGCCTCAGGCACAAGGAACAGCTTACTTTTTGCCAGATATTTTAATTCCACCGGTGGCCAGAGGGCCTTTCCCACGGCCTTTGCTTTTAGCTCCTCGAGTTTCTTCTGCTTCTCCTTCTGCTTCTGCTTGAATGCCTTATCTTCCTTGTCCATCTCCTTGGCTTGCTTCTTGGGCTGCTTCAGGGGCTTCTTGCCGCCTTCGGGGCCCAACATGGCGCCTGCCGCCCCTTCCCCAGAGGCTTCCACCGGAAGCCCTGACTTAACTTTTGAAAGCAGCTGTGGCAACAGCATAGCTAAGTGTTTTGAGGTTTGTAATGATCTCTAACCAACGACCTTACTCAAGGTCTGCGTTCAACCAAAAACTCCCCTCAGGTACACGGGCTGTATGGTATTACAGAAGGTGACTGTTGTATTTCTTTTCTTCAAGGTCGAGCTGATAAATTAAGTTCAATAGATGTAGTAAATCCCTACAAACCCCATTAAGTTTCATACCGAGAGACACCCATCCTATTACACAACAGCCATTAATCATAATAGAGAATTACATCGTCGCACTAGGCAGGAGTTCCATCCGGGGCGAGGATGATTTCCTCCTTATTTAAGGTCTCGAAAATGCCAGGGAGGGTATCTTCCGATGAGTAGCACCATTTCTCCTCTTTATAGATTATGAAGTGGCTCTCACGGTCGCCCTCTTAGCCGTACCCGGCAAACCATAATTAACATTTCATACAATATTAAAGGGGCTAAGCCAAGACTACAATTCCCGTCATGCACCGGGAAGGCGCCACCGACGCGATTTAGCGATTAGTCATTCTTCCCTACGCCTCCTCCCATTTCCGGGACTGCAGCGCCTTGCGGCCTCGCGGGCATGCGCACGCTCCGACTTGCCAACGAGACAAGGCACGGGGGCGCGGCGCTGACGCCGACGTGTGGCGTCACGTGTCGCGGGGGTGCGCCTCGCCTGCGCGCTTGCGCGCGTCCAGTGGGCCGCTGACGGGCTTGAGCGCCTGTGCAGAGCGGGAGGCGGGGTGCGGACCGACTGGGGCTGCCGGGGCCGCGGAGCCAGGCGACGGAGAGGGCGGGGCCAACTCCGGGACCGCGGCGACAACACACCGAGCGAGCGCCTCGGCCCGTGGGCAGCGATGCTGTGGTTCCAGGGCGCCATTCCGGCCGCCATCGCGTCGGCCAAGAGGAGCGGCGCAGTCTTCGTGGTGTTCGTGGCAGGTGAAGGAGGCGAGGGCCCGAGATGTAGCAGGGACACCCCTTCCGGCCTACCTCCAACCCCAGGGGCCCCCAGCCTTTCCTACGGGCGCCGAGAAGCCCGGCTGCCAGTCCCTGGCGTCTCAGCGCTTACCCCGTCCGTTTGGAGTACACTTGGCCTGACCCCCACCGCTGGCTTTTCCCGGCCCCTGCAGGAGGCACGGTCTCGGCCTTGCCCCCAAAACGCGCTGAACCCCGCCCTCTCCCCTGTGCGGGGCGAGGGGACGGGTCGAGCAGGCCCTAGGGCCGCCCTGCTCGCTGTGGAGCCTGACTCCGCGCCGCCTGCGGAGTTGGCACCCGCAGACCCCACCGTCGCCTCCTGGCGCCCCCGACGGAGTGCTCCACTTGGAGAGACTTTAACTCCAGTATAGTTAGTGTGTAGGTGAGGAGAGAGACGGGCCGTAAGACGGGCAGTTTTGCTTGTAATTAGTTGTGGACTTTCAGGAAGAAAGCTGTGTCATCGGTAATCAACAAAGAGAAACCACCTGATGTTCACTGTTACTGGCTTTCGTGTGTTCCTGAAACGTAAACTTTTGAGGTCTATATAAATTGGATTTTAATGCCATAGGAGTGGAGAATCTCATATGAAATAATTTGTTGCACGTGGGTTGTTTTTTAACCGTTTGTTTAGAAGTAGACACACAAGCATTGATTCTTTTTATTGTCTTCCTAGTATCACAGATACAGTTTTAGAATGTGTACTAACTCATCTGTTCTGTGTTGCTCTGGGTTATTTTGCTCCGTATTTTATTATTGCAGTCTTATAGATTTACAGTAAATTTGTGCCACTATGAAGTTTTGCTGATACTCATTACCTGAACCGAATTAGTATTTGCGACTACCGTTAATTTGAAGTGCATTATTTCAACTATTTGTGTTTAATAACGGTTTGTTCATTATTAACTTATGGCTTGGGAGGCTCGGTAATAACTCTATAGCTTTATGCACTGTAGTGAAGAGCAAGTTGCTGAAATGTGAGTTTCATATTAAATTTGAAATTTTGAATTGTTGTAAATTATGGTAAAATTTTAACTCATTGCTGTTAATTACAAGAGCTGGAGTAGTTCAGATTCTTTTATGCTGTTTTTTTAGAGTTATATTTCACATAATAAGTAACTGCTGTAAACCTGTAAGAAAATAAGTGGATTAAAAAGGAAAGTTTGGGCTTCCCAGGTGGCTCAGTGGTAGAAAATCTGCCTGCTAGTGCAGGAGACGCAGGTTCAGTCCTTGATAGTGGAAGATCGCACGTGACACGGAACAATTAAGCCCATGGGCCACAACTACTGAGCATACTCCCCGCAGCTGCTGAAGCCCCCCCTCCCCGCTGCCCGCCGGTCCCAGCCTAGAGCCCATGCTGGGCAGTTACAGAAGTCACCCAATGAGAAGCTTATTCATTGCAACTAGAGAGCTACTGCCATAGATAATAAAATCCTAAGAAAAGGGAAAGGAAAACTGATGATACTGAATATGCTCACTAAGAGTGCAGTAATAGTTGTAACACCATTTTAAGTTGTGTTTTTCACATATACTCTCAATTGATCCCGCACATTGGTAGAACAGGGTTTAGCATGCCCATTTTATCGGTGAGGAAACAGGTCCACAGCGGCTAAGTGACATAGACCGGTGTCACAAAAAGAATATTTATCTTTTCTTGACAGATTTTTTTTTTTTATCAGCTTCCAAAAAAGTGTCTTTTTTGTTTCTCCAGAGAAAAAAACAACCATTGTACAGACAGACCTTAGGTAGTTCTACAACAGACCTTAGGTAATTACTGAAATTGGTGTAGAAATTAGGAAATCTAAAGTCTACATAGAGTTTGTTACAACCTTTCTGTTTTGTGACCAGGGGTGGAGCCCTCACTTCCTCCCTTGGAAGAGGACATGAGGAACTTTTCACCACTGGCCTGCCAGGGAAGTCCTCAGTAGTCATATTTTTAAACAGAAAGCACATTTGATCAGTGCCCAAAGGTTCCTTGAAGGCACTCTTGGACTAACCTGTTAATTTGAAAGAAATGCTAGGTTTAATTAACAAACATTTAGAAACCCATTTCGAAACAGTAGCACTAATTATTACAATAGAAAAATAAAGTTATAGGTCTTTAGGGCTTTGCGTCTATATATAATATATACCTTCTTCAATTTTTCAAGTTTTTCTGATGAGCATGTATCATGTAACATATGTTTTTAGAATATCAGTGACTGTTGAATGTTTGCAGGACTATTAGCAGTCTGTGGAAGAAGTTGCTTCCACATCGCTTGACCCATTCAAATACTGTTAGTTTTTCTAGAGTTAAATTTAGGAAGTTAGTCTCCAAGACTAGGTAGAGTGTGTAGACAGTGGAGTCATGAAATAGCAAAACTTACAGCAGGTTTCTTGGGCCTTTATTCTTTTTTAAATGTATTTATTTAGTTGTGGCATGCAGGTTCTTTAGTTGCGGCATGTGGGATCTAGTTCCCTGACCAGGGATCAAACCTGGGCCCCCTGGATTGGGAGCATGGAGTCTTAGCCCCTGGACCACCAGCGAAGTCCCTAGACCTTTATTCTTGACTTTGAAGAGTACAGTCAGAACTCATGATTTTCTTAGATCTAAGACCTTGACAGTAATGTGCCAACTCACTGGAAAATTAAAAGGATAGCTTTTTAGTTGGAAGGAGTGGTCATAAATATATACTTTGGTTCATATAGCCACTCAAGTGGGAAACATTTTAGGCAGATCATTTATATTTTAGTGAAATTTTCATGGATGTATTAAATAATATGTGGGATTAATGTTAAGAGACTGGAGAGGTTACTAGTTAAGTCAAACAAGTATTTTCAAAGTATTATAGGTGTGTAAATTGCAAGAAATAAAACTGAAACAGGTTTTGATTCTTTTCTTGGGAATGTACAATAATTTGACAAGCATTCTGAAGCAGAGGTGTCTTGTCACTAGACAAGCAAACACTGGTCATCGACTAATGGTTCTATTTGGCTAAAATCTCCTTGACCAACACTATGTAATGCCCCTCCCCCCCATTTGGTTTGGTTTGGTTTGGTTAAAATAGACTAAAAAGCCATTTGGGTTTAGACCAGTTGAGTTTTTCTCTGTTGAAATTCCTGGTTATAGAGTCTGCAACTGCTTCCGAGTTTGTACTGCTCCTTTTAAGTGGCTTTACTTTTGGATACTGCTGATACCACCAAGAATGTAATGTTTTCTCCTGAAATCCTTGGCCCATCTAACTCCACAGCATAGTTCATAATTTGATTTAAAATAAGAAAGTAAAGATTCCAAAGTTGGCAATTAAAAATCTCACCCAGTAGAGCTAAGGTTAACTCTCATTATGTAATTCCATTCAATCTTAACATCTCTGTTGGTCAGGCAGCTGTTGCTGCCCCCCACTGAATCTGAGCAGACATTGCTAGTGGAGATGGAGCCCTTGAGAATCTGCATCATAAAACCTAGGTGAGGAAGTGAAGAACATCAGCCTCAGGAGTGGCAGGTCCATCCTTCCAGCTGCCTACTTGACACCCCCACTTGGATGCCTCACAGGACTCTCAGGCCTGAAAGCATTGCTGCTTGAATCTGTTCCCCCGTGGTATCCTCCCGCTCAGTCAGTGGCGCCACCTTCTGTCCAGCTGGGCACGCCCAGGCACGGGAGCCATCTGCGGCCTCAGCTCTTCAGTCTCATCGTGTTCCCTGGTGCCGAGTGTCCGCAGCACTCCTAACCGTGCAGCCCTTTCCTCCCCAGAAACGCCTTCTGCCTGGTGAGCCTTTCTGGCTTGTGGCGAGGTTTACCTCTTCCATCCTTCAGGTCTTACCTTAAGTATCACCTCAGAGGGCTTCCCTGACCAATCTAAAGGGGTCTGTTTTTTTAAAGCGTTTCTTACCACAATTATAGTTTACCAAACAAGTATGTTTTTTAGATTTTAAACTCCACTGAGGGCATATAGTATCTCATTTGTTTTATATTTAGTTAGCACAGTGCCTAGCAGAGTATAAATGTGAAGTAAAATAGTGAATGTATGAAAGAAAGAATGAATAAAAATAACCCCTACACCTCACAGCCTTCTCTAAGTGTATTAAGGATGTTCCTCTGTAGCTGTTTTCTAGGTTGATAATCTTGTCATTTACTTGGAATTTTGCATCTCTCGTCACCCCCATAGTGTCTGAAGATATGCTCAGAATGATCTCATGGCAAATGATAGTTTTCCTGTCTGCTGCTTCGACATCTAGGCGTCTGCTAATGGGCATTCTTTTAGTCTTGGTCTGTGCATGCATTCTATCCCTGTCTACTTTTCCATGGCCATATTTCTCAAGCCCCTTATTACTGAATATTCTTGAATCTCATTTCACAAAAGATGTTTTCAACCGTGTAGCATTAGTCAGGTTTTGTAGGCATGCCAAGATTCTATACCAGAAATTTAGTTATTCATTCTACAAAATACTTTTTGAGAGCCTGCTCTACTCCCAAGTATTTACTATATATTAGATTCTGTTGTAGGTGTTTGAATTATATCAGTAAATAAGAAGGAAAACAATTCTTGCCCTCATGGAGCATGACATCTAGTGGAAGGAGACAGACAGCAAATAGTAAACATGATAATAAGTAAAACAAATAGTCTATTAGAAGGTTATAAGTATTACAGAAAAGAAAGTGGGAAGTGAAGAAGCTGTGGAAATACCTGAAGTGTGTAGTTTTATTTTTGCTGTGATTTGTGGCTTGTGGGATCTTAGTTCCCAACCAGGGCTCAAACCTGTGCCCCTGCAGTGAAAGTGCTGAGTCCTAACTATTGGACCACCAGGGAATTCCCTGCTCTGACTCTTTAAAAGGAAGATGCTGCGTTAAGAGCAGACAGAGCAGGGAGACCAGTAGGAGGCTACTGTAATCATTATGTGAGAATTTGATAGCTCAAGTCAGGGTGGTAGCAGTGAGAGTGTTATGACAAAGTTATACTCCAGATATATTTTGGAGACAGCATCAGCTAAAGGCAAAAATAACTAAACTTTTTGGTCTGAGAACTGAAAGGATGGTGTTATCAATACCAGATAACTGAGATGGAGAAGACTAAGGGTAGATTAAGTTGATGGAGGGGAACGCACATGGGAAGAAAACAACTTACAAAAGAGTAGGTATAGAAAGATCTCATTTTTGTAAAGCAAAAAAGTGTGATCTGAAAACATAGCTCTGCTAACCTTCGAAATATTTTTCAGTGACTTAACTCTGGTAAGTTTGCTTTGCCCATCAATAAATGGTTATGCCAAAATCTAGATGTTACAGGTCTAAAATGGAAATAATCTCTTGATGGGTGTAATTTTTAAAATATTTTGTCACTGAGGTATTGCATACAGTATATTAAGTAAAATATATTCAGTGAACAGCTGGGTGAATTTTTACAGATGATACACTTGTGTAAGAGATAAACGTTTCCTATCATATGACATCGCTTATGCAGAATCTAAAAAAAAATGATACAAATGAATTTAATTACAAAAAAGAAATAAACAGAAAATGAATTTATGGTAACCGGGAGAGAAGGGTGGGAAGGGATATATTGGGATTGACATGTATACACAGTACTGTATTTAAAATAAATAACCAATAAGAACCTACTGTATAGCACAGGGAACTCTGCTCAGTTTTCAGTAATAACCTAAATGGGAAAAGAATTTGAAAAAGAATAGATACAGGTATATATATAATTGAAAAACTTTGCTATACACCTGAAACTAACACAGCATTGTTAATAAAATATATAAATATATATATAAAACATTTCCAAGATCCTGGAGGCTCCTTCATCCTCTTTCCCAATCAGTAGTACCTCCACCAAGGTAGCATGCATGCATGCTCAATTCTATCACCATAGATTAGTTTTGGATCAGCATACCTTTTATAACTGGCATACCTCTTAACAAAAGGCAGGTGCAAAACTGCAAACAGAATCACACCTGGCTTCTGTCTACCTTGGAGGGATTCTGGCGAATAAGTGGTGTGTGTGTGGAGGACATTAAATGCAACAGAAAGATACTACATAAAGGAAAAATATTGTACCTTTGTTTTCTAAAATCATATGTACAAGAGGCAAAATAGACACATTTCTGCCCATGACTTCTAATTATTGTGATAATATTTGCATCATAATTTGGATGTCTTCATTTAGAAACACTTTGTGTAACCTAAATACCAATATTTTCTTTTTCATTACTTTTTATTAATGTTAACAGTCACTTCATTTATGGAAAAAGTCAGTTTTCAAATTTGGTAAAAAATAGTATTTGTGGGTTTACATTTTATTTGAAGTTCCAGATTTACAGGGAAAAGAATCAGCAGATACAGGCCTTATGCTATAAGAATGCTTGAAATGTTTTACAGGTGATGATGAGCAGTCTACACAAATGGCTGCAAGTTGGGAAGATGAGAAAGTGACAGAAGCATCTTCAAACAGTTTTGTTGCTATTAAAATCGATACCAAAAGGTTTGCTTATGTTTTACTCTTGCAATTTAAAAAAAAATTTTAACCATTGTCTCTGGTTGTGATTTATGTTTTATACTTTTGGACTATAAAAATGTTGATTTTTGTCTAAGACATGTTGAGGGCTTATAGTCTGATTGCCATTTTTCAAATTTCTCCTTATATCTTATTGAAAACCTGATAAATTCTTGGTCTACCAAGCAGCTATGTGACATACACCAGTAATGCAAAGGAACTGTGATCCTCATATTCTAAAAACTTGGAAGTAATTGTAAACAATATATTAAATGTCTCTGAAAGGTTATAACCACTCTTTTGGATCCTGTTTTTGAAAATGGAGTAATTTAATTAAGTAAAAATAAGAGCATTTATAGGCACATCATAGTACCTGATGACCACAAATCTGTTTCATTTGTGTGAAACACAAATGAATCCCTCTTCCCCCATTAAAATTTGTGTGTGTGTGATGGAAAATTTCAAGCATACACAAAAGTGTTTGAGTAGTGTAATGAACCCTGCCCCCCCACCTTGTCACCTACTTTGACAGCTATCACCTCTTGTTAGTCTTGTTTCATCTTTTCCCCCACCCATTTTAACCCCATCCATTTCAACTCACCCCATATAATTTTGAAATAAACCTCAAGTCATCATGTCATTTCATCTATCAGTATTTTGGTATGTCTCTGAAAGATGAGAATTCTTAATTTTTTAACATAATACTTCAAAAATTAATCTTAATTTCTTAATATCAAATATCGACCAAGTGTTTACATTTTCAGTTGTTAAATCAGTCAGGTTTTATTATTAATTTAACTTATTACAGTTTGTTTGGTTCAGGATCCTTAAAGATCTACACATTGTGATGTGTTGATCTCTGTCAGGTCTCTTCTCTGGAGGCTGCTTCTCTGGATCTCCCTCTTTGTCTTTTTCTTTGAAGGCTGTTTTCTGAGAATGAAGTGATTTGTTGCATAGCTTCCTGCACTATAGGTTTTGTTCGTTGGAGTCCTGTCAGTGTCATTTAGTTTGTCACTCTATCCTCCATTTTCGGTAAATTGACAGTTGGATTCAGGTTTTTTTTTTCCCCACTTAATACTACTACTTAGATGGTGGTGTGTCTTCCATTCTTCTACGACAGGGTACATAATGCTCTGTTGTTTGTCTTTATGATGTTAGCCACAGCCATCAATGATGAATGCCTGGAAACACTAGCAATTTTAAAGTGGTATTTCTGTTCTTCTGGTATTGATAATATCAAAATGAAAATTACTGTCAACATTAAAATAGAAATTTACCTGTAAGTTTGTAAACTTATTAAACATTTTTTCTTCATTAATAAAACATGAAGCAAATCATAGTACAGTCTGCTTCACAGTAGTTACTGAACTATACATTTATTGAGCTATAATCGTCTTTTTTTTTTTTCTTTTAAATAGTCTATGATATCGTTGATATTGTCCATTCTCTTCCAGAAGCACCTTTTAGAGTCAGTAATGGCAGGAGGGATGTAGGGTTTTGTTGGGAATGTGGGAGAAATGAGAATTTCAGAATTGTTGTGGTTTATGTACACACTGATATATCTAGCATTTTTAAAAACAAATTTCTATTAGCAGATGCAGGAGTACTTGTGTATAGTGTTGGTTGATGGTTGTTTCATTATGGACAGCCAGATGGGATCTAGTATGTCTTTTAAATTATGAAAGGTAAATTTAATTTATTAGATAATAAAGCTAACATTCTAGGAACATGTTAGTATATTTTTATTTATGGAGGTATCTTGCAATGAAAATAGATTGTTAGAGAATGTATCAAAAGTTTACAGTGGTTATAGCTGAGAAAGTAGGATTCTTAATAATATTTTTCTTTATAGTTTTCTTTTACATTTTCAGATGTTTTTATTATAATCATGTCTCAGATTTGGAAAAAGACAAAGCAAATTTCTGGTTCTTTGAAGCATTAATTTGGTTCTTGGAATTACTCACCTACATTTATCAGTGTCTTTTATTCATGTTATAAAGTCTCTCTCTCCCATCCCTGTCCCCAACCACTCAGTTCTCTTTGGAGTAAACCAAATCAAGAGAATACCATTGTTTTCCTCTCCCTGTTTTTTACAAAAATTATAGTAGTTTGACATACTTTTTTTCCCCCTCTTTATAATTGCATGATTCATCAGTTTTTAACTGGTGGATATTTAGGTTGTTTTGAGTCCTTTCATATTACAAAGTATTGCATTATCACTTGCACAAGTAATTCATAGGTATTGATATCTTCTTATTACAAGCTACAATATTGTATTCAGAAACGCATGCTTCTGAGGAAGCAACATGGCAGATACTAAGGTGATCTTTAGGTACCACATCTGACCACTAGTTTGTGGTTTGCAAAAGCAAGTGTCTCTCTGTTTTGAAAATTATAAACCCAAAATGGTCTGTGAGATAAGGAATACATTTTTCCCCTTTCAGTTGATAGCTATGAAAGGAACTTGTAGTTTCAGGAAAATACTTGTAATTGGTACAGTACATTTTTATAAAAACAACTCAGTATTTGGGAAATACTTACATTCATCTGGTGATTTTTTGTTTGATTTTTGTTTTACAGTGAAGCCTGCCTACAATTTTCACAGATCTGTATCCTTTCCATGAAGAATCAGTTGTATATATATGAATATTGCTTGAGGATTTACCTTTCTTTTGGTTGATGCATGACAATTAGAAATTACTAGTTTTTATTTAGGAATTGATGCATTCTTATTCATGGAAACTTTATATTACTAAGTGTCCTTTAAGACTGCACTGTATCATATGGGGTCATAGGGAGTTTGTTGTGGGTTTTTTTTTTTTTGACTGTGAGGTGCAGCATGTGGGATCCCACAACCAGGGATCCCAGGGATGGAATCCATGCCCTCTGGAGTGGGAGTACAGAGTCTTAACCACTGGATTGCCAGGGAAGTCCCCTTGGGGAGCTTTTTAAAATTGTGATTACTATAGCTGGAAAGCAATGTGATGCAGTTGGAATGTTATTTAATAGAAGTAGCTGGCAAGAAATAAAATAGATATTAAAGTCATGATAGAGGGGAACGTAATGAGTGTTTTCCACTTATATAGATGCGATAGAAATAAATCATAATTCATGTATCACATGTACTACAGGAATAGTGATAAACTAGTTGAAATTATTTTGTGAACAGGTTAGCTTATTGTGAAATTCACAAAGATTATTTTGCTTTTTTTAAATCAGTAGTGTTTAATAAAATTATTCCCTTGTTTCTCATGAGTTGTTAGACTTGATAACACTGTGCAGATCCTGTAGTGTGTGTTCCATCCAGTTTTTTTATTGGAGACAGTGGAATTCCTTTGGAAGTAATAGCAGGAAGTATTTCTGCAGATGAACTTGTTACCAGAATCCACAAAGTCCGGCAGGTGAGAAGGAACGGAATTGGTTCTTTGTATAAATGTTGGAAAATGATCTGTCAAGAACTTGACATTGGAATATTTTTGGAGTCACTCTAAATATTCAGGAACTAGCCGTGCTATTAAACTTAAAAGCTGGACTGATTTTCAAAACCACGTTATGAAGTTAGAGGTGCCTATACATGAGTGACTTACTCTCCCTTCCCTTTTCCTCCCATCACCCAACCGCACAATGTAGTCACTATTACTTTGTTGCAAGAGTATTGCTCTCACATTAAGGTCCTTAACAGTATATTGCTTGACTCGTTTTACGGATCTTACTCAATTTCTCACTTCCATCCACTTTGGGCATATGGCTAATACAGCTTGTAACCTTTTTCCTTCAATTCTCATTTTAAGAAAAATCAACAGTGTGCTTTAAAAGTCTTTCAATGCTCTTATCACCTTGCTGTTGAATTCCATAATGTGATTATGTCATGTTTAGGACTGTACATTTTACATTGATTTACTTGGAAGGTTCAGTACTTCTCACTTCTGTGGAGTATAGATTGACTTCCTCATTTTTGGTCTCATATACCATGGTAAATTTGGATTCTTATCTGTAATTAAAAACTGTTTTTTTCTCCCTAGATGCATTCATTAAAAGGTGATGCATCATTGGCCAATGGCAGCCAATCAGAAGGTTCAGTCTCTACTCCATCTGCCTCATTTGAACATAACAATACTTCTGAAAACTGTCAGTCCAGAAGTGTAGAGCTCTGTGAGACGCCATCCTCTTCTGATACAAAGTCAGATTCTGCAACAGGTAATTTTTAATGTACCCTTTTGGGTATACTAAACATCCTACTTCACTTTGAAGGCTGTGGATTAATGTTTTTAAAAATAAAAATACTGCATTTTTCCCCTTCACATTCACTTAATTTAAAATTTACAGGCAGTTTTAGATACATACGTTTGTCATTTAGTGGCAGAAGGAAATAAAGTCAGTGACTGTGTCCTTCAGACCCAAATAGGTAGCAGTCCAAACAGCTGGTAGTAGTCATTTCTGCTGCTGTGCTGTGGTCCAGGGACTGTCATCATGACTCTCATCAGTTTTGTAAAATCTCTTCTCAGCCAGAGGATTTTGAAAGGTCCAAATGAAACTGATGTATTTGGAATTATTTTCGTTAGCCTATAGAGTATTGTACATATTTAAGAGAATTGTATTTGCACTTTTAAAATTAGAATTAAAAGTTAATTGTAAAATAGAGCTTGTAGCAATAAGAGTTGTGACTGCAGAGGGGTTGATAGAAAAGGCAGAGAGAAATTCTTTTTTTTTTTTTTTTTTTTTTAGAAATTCTATACAGTATTTTAAGGATCATGTAAAATCAGAGTTGTTTTGTATAATAGAGCTTTGTATCAGGCAATGTACGGTTAGATACAAAGCCAGAATATTATTTTTTTATTGCTTATTTTTGGCTGCATTGGGTCTTCATCGCCTCTCTCAGGCTTCCTCTGGCTGTGGTGAGCCGGGGCTTCTCTTTGGTTGCAGTGCACAGGCTTCTTACTGCAGTGGCTTCTCTCTGCAGAGCGCGGGCTCTAGGGCCTGTGGACTCAGCAGTTGCGGCGCATGGGCTCTGGAGCACGGGTGCACAGTTCCTAGTTGCTCCAAGGCATGTGGAATCTTCCCGCAGCAGGGATCGAACCTGTGTCTCCTGCATTGGCATGTGGGTTCTTAACCACTGGACCACCAGGGAAGTCCAAGAAACTAGATTAGTATCTTAAAATTGATGATCCTGCTCCAGCTCCTGGATAAATAATCATCAAGCTTGTATTTGAATATATTTAATGAGAGGAAGCTCATTTCCTTGCTAGGAATCTTGTTCTGTTGTTGAAGCCCTTAGGTTTTAGCAAAATTCTTCCCCATGTTTGATGCTCTATAATTCCCCATTAACTCTAGTACTACTTAAAGAGTTACACATAACACTCTGGATTCTGTTATATTCTCACAAAGAGCATTCTTGTCTTTGTTTTAGTAGGTAGGTAAATAACTTGGTTAGGCCCAGACTGTTACACTCTCTTATCTGAGGTGAGTAGCAAGTCTAATCTTAGTTCTTTGTAGGTTTTTTTTTTTTAGCTTCATTATGGAAAATTTTAAACATAACAGAAGTAGAGAAAATAGTATAATAAATATCATGAACCCATTGCCTATCTTCCAACTATTTTTAACTCATGGCCAATATTGTTTCATCTGTGCTTCCTTTCTATGTCTTCTTGCCCCTTATTAGTAGGATACACGTAGGCATTATATCATTTCATCTTTAAAAATGTTGATACTGGGACTTCCCTGATGGTCCAGTGGTTAGGACCTACCCCATGTTCTCACTGCCAAGGGCGCAGGGAACTGAAATCCCATGAGCTGAGCAGCGTGGCAAAAAAAAAAAAAGAAAGTATCTTAAAAAGCATTTTAGAAAATGTAAATAGAATGTGATTATCTCTTATGAATCCTGGAAAGTTTAACATTGATTCTTTTTTATCATTAATTATCTAGGCAATATTTATATTTACACTAAAATTTTCAGTTTGAGGTGGAGTCCAATATATCATTATTAGTCGATGCTTTTCATAGATTCCCACTGTCATCAGTGGTGGATTTTTTTTTTTTTTTTGTAGTTTCCCACAGTCTGGATTTGGTACATCCCTGTGATAATTTGTAAAAATTCCTCTAAATTGGAAGTAACACTACAGGCTTGTTTTAGTTGTTGAAGTCAAGTTTATTCTTTATTCTTTTTTGTCAAGACTACTTAACGGGTGTTGCTGTGCATTTTTATCAGGAGATAAGTTATGCATGATAATCCAGTTGTCTTTAAACCTTAAGATAGAACCTCCTCTAGTAATTTTACTGTGTTTGGATTTTTATCAGTTGTTTTAGCTGATTGCTGTCCATTTTTCTTATCCACCTCACTAATTGTTATACACGACACTTTTTTTCAGCTTGTCCACAGGTTATTTTCAGAAGTTTTCTTAAATATTTTTTGCTAATATCAAGGTATAAATGATCTTGACATTCATTTTACTTACTAAAGAAAGCATTAATTTCCTATTGAATACACACTGGCTGCTAGAGTTAATTGTAAAATAGAGCTTGTAGCAATAAGAGTTGTGACTGCAAAGGGGTTGATAGAAAAGGCAGAGAGAAATTCTATACAGTATTTTAAGGATCATACACACTTCTTACTCAAGGGTTGCATTCATGATATGCTAGTAAATATTTAACAAAAGTTTTTTATAGCGGGGGAGAAAAGCCCTCATTTGTAGCATTTACTAATTTCCAAAGTGTAAATAATCCTTCTGTAGCTGATTTCAAGTTATGTAGGTGATACACTGAATGTTGGGGTAGGAGTACATGCATACCATTGATTCTACTTAGTAATTCTAATATTTCTGTTACTGCTGCAATAACTGAACCACTTACTTTGTGCTAGTCCTAGCACAAGTTTCAGTGTTGTGCTTCTGTAACATGTATTTCTCCTAACAAGTCTATGCAGTTAATACCTCCATTTTGTAGATAAGGTATAGTGAGATTGAAGAACTTACTGAAGTGACAGAACAAGATTTAACCCAGACTTTGTTGCTCTGCAGTCCATACTGTTTCAAAGATCAAACATATGAGGAATAATTAAGTTGATATTGAGTGATAAGGAAGGAAATAGCAGAGGTTTTGAAAGGGACTATCAGACCAGGCTGTCCTCTACTGCAGGCCAGGACAAAATTCTGTCCTTCAGGAATCCTTTAAAGAATATTAGTTAAAAAAAATAAAGAATATTAGTGTAGGTATGAAAAGCTTCTCTAAGGAATCATTGTGGTCTGCAGAAGCAGATCCCATGGGTCATCATAAGTTTAGTAATACCCAGTATCATACTTGGCCTCTAGAGCTTCGCACCTTTTTTTTTTTCCCGCCCCCGTGAGGCTAGTGGATCCAGGAATCTAACCTGTTCCCCCTGCAGTGAGACTGCAGAGTCCTAACCACTGAACCACCAGGAAATTCCCTAGAATTCTTGAATACCATAACCACAGCCACATTTGGCATTTTTAATTAAAATTAAATACAGTTGAAAAAGTCTCTCACCTGCACTAGTTTATTATAAGTGCTTAGTAGCCACACATGACTGACTAGTGGCTGCCCTAATGGATACCAAAGATACTGGACCCTGCTGCTTTAAAGCAGAGCCTGCCCCTGGCTAGGGCATGCTTATTCTGTTTTTGTTATATCCCCTCCTGCCAGATTAATATTTCTGCATGTTTTATTTTGGTGGCTTTCAGCTGAGTAACTGCCTTATTTCCCACTTACATACTGTTATTCCAGGTTTAAACTTTCAGAGTTAGTAATAGTTCATTTCTTATCTCCTACTCCATCCCTAGGGAAAATATGTTTAAGAAACAAGATTGTTAACAGATGTTGTAACCCCAAAGATATATATCTTTTTAAAAATTGGCATTCTTTTGTTTTTCTTTTATTATTTAAGGAGGAGAAAGTTCAGGCCAGACCACTGTGTCTCAAGAGCCTAGTGGATGTTCAAATCAGAGACCTACTGAAGACCTCACCGTCAGAGTGGAAAGGTTTGCTCTTATTTTTAGACACAGTGTTTTGTTATTAATAGACTGTGGTTTTCAGTTACTTCATTAATTTGAATTTGGGATAAAATTATAAAAAATTTTAAAATTCTAGGTTGAAATTTTTTACTTGCTGACCACTTATTTGTATCCATAGAAATTATATTCTAGAAGTAAGAACTCGTGTATATCTCTGAAGTCATTGGTCAGCTTTAGGTCTGATAATTTTAACAGTCCCTCTTTCATTAGTATTTTGGTATATGTGTTTCCATCTATCACTTCTGCTTTTATCTCTCTGTGTCACGGGATAAGTTCCAGATGGGCAGCCAGTTTTATGACTCTGCACACCCATGTGGCTGTCTATTAAGTATCACGTGCTGTTAGTCTAATAAACAAATATCTGCCTTTTTGTGGCTTCTAGTTTAGTACTTTCTAATGTTACAATAGTTACCAAATCATAATCTCATAGTATGATTCTTAAAAGGTACTTGAGTTAATGGTGAATGGGTAAGCAGGAATATTTTAAAATCTTGACTTAAAAATCACTCAGTGTTATATGGAAGTTAAGAAAAACTACTTAGACTTGATATTTTCTTCTTCACATAGATATCATGGGGAACCGAGATTCATAATGATTGCTGTCATTGGGTTTTTGGGTTAGTTCATGCATGGTTCAGTATAAATGAGTTTCATTTTAGCAAAACCTCCCTCGATTCTGGTTGTTTTTTATGAGTGTGGCAGGGCCAGGATCTGGTGGTGCACAGCAGGATAGACCTCTCACGGTCGAGAGAAATGGTGTGTGTCTGGAAGAAGAGCAGTAGGGAACGAGAGTTTTAGAGGCTCTTCCTTTTCTGTTTCATTCTACTTTGCTAACACCACATCCCTCAGCATGCACCCTTCCTTGTATCACCCTGGGATCCTAGAGTGAAGTGAGAATGAAAACTCAGGAAAGGATTTCGAGAATTGGAGGGAATGTGAAGAAACATGGCAGGTAGCCCTTTATTGTGAGGTAGTATCAAGTGCTATTTAATTGCTGTGGGAAAGGGGAGCTTCTGTTATTTAATAGTTTCCATTCTGGTTTGGGTTTGTTTTTTTTTTTTTTTTTGGCTGCACCAAATGAGTTGTGGGATCTTAGTTTTCCCCTACTAGGGATTGAACTCAGGCTCTTGGCAGTGAGAGCTAAGAGTACTAACCATTGGACTCCTAGGGAATTTCCCCAAATAGTTTCCATTCTTACATAAAGGGATGTCTACTAGTGTCTGCCTGTATGGTTCTTCAAATAGAATATAATAAGCCATTTTTAATTAAAAAATAACAATGTGTACACATCCTGGTGTATATGTGTTATATAGGATAATGAGCCCCAGAAGATATTTGAAGCCATGCACAAAATGTTTATACTAGTATCTGTGAAACTAGAATTAGAGTTTTCTTTGTTTTGTTCTCAGGTTGCCAAATTTTCTTCATTGAACATTATTACTTTTATAGTTAGCTTATCAGGATAGAGTGGTTCTAGAGTTGTTTGAGATTCTTTAACTGGAAAAAAATCTTCAAAGTGCTCTTAGAAGATACATACACCCAATTTTTTAAAAACTTTTCAAAAGGAATTCTAATGTTGAAATTAGATAAAATGTTGAAAAGATCTTAATAATTAAAGTTTTCATTGGGAAGTAACTATTAGCTGCTTGACCGTTTCAAAAATTTGAGCATGATCATATAATTAAATCATACAGGCACTTCAAATTGTTGCTCATTACTGTATAGCTGTAGTGACTGTGTATTGATTATACCATGATTTATTTAGCTGTTCTACTGATGATGGATGTTTGAATTATTTTCAGTTTGAGTTGGTTATGAATAGGATTGCTGTGAACATTCTTTTATTACATATCTCGGTGAACGTATCTTTTGGGTATGTTTTCAGAAGTGGGAATTTCTGGGTTGTAGATGCTGGCTGAACAGTGCCCAAAGTGGTTATACAAGTTTATAATTTCCCTCAGCAGTAAGATGTTTCATGGGTCCTTTTTTTCCCCTCTAATGTGTTTCAGTTAATTTCTCTCGTAACTTTTTTTAGTGCACAGAATACTCCAGATTTATAGCAGAACCCCTTCATGTTGGGTCTTAAGTCCTTCTGACATCCTTTTAATGAAGAAGAAACCTATGGACATTTGCTGAATTTTTCCTTTGGTGTTGCTGCATTCTAGTGCACCGTTCATTTTTCTCGCCATGTGCACCTAAACCTCATCATCTCTTTGGGGTTCTAAACCATCATCTTTGAACATCCCTTAGATTTCTAGCTGAGTTCTTCAGCTGAGTTTTAACAAATGCATATGCCTTTGCAACCCAAACCCCTCTGAGAAAAAGTGCCATTAGTTTTAAAAAATTGAGATAAAATTCACATACCATAAAATGCAAAATGTATGCAGATTGGGTGGGTTTTTATATATTCACAAAGTTGTGGAACCATTACCACTGTCTGCTTTCAGAATCATTAGTTTTTAATTGATGAATTTCTCATAGTTCAAAATCAATTTTGGTATTACTGGTCTTTATAAATGTTAGCCTTCAGCTTTTAGCTTTTATCAATTCTGTGCTATAGTCCTCTTCTGTGTAAGAGGTAAAGCATTTTTAAGTCATTGATTTATATATATATTATTATTATTTTAAGACATTTAAAAATCAATATCTGATGAACTCCCTGGTAGGCCAGTGGATTGGACTCTGTGACTTTTCTGCCAAGGCCTCAGGTTTGATCCCTAACTAGGGAACTAAGACCCCAAAAGCCACATGGTATAGCCAAAAAAAATCAGTATCGGATAAATCAGGTGAGGAAAGGGAACTAGTGGTAAGTAGGAGATAAGCCCTTAGAGCTGGAGGGAGGCTTCTTATGGCTCCCCCTGACTCTCGTGGGTTTTTTCAGAGCCAGGGGCTAGGTAGAGAAGTTGTTGTTTAGCCTTTAGGAGCTTTTTTTGTTTGTCTCCATATTTCCCCAGTTTTTAGCTAAAGAAATCTTCTAAATGTAATTTATTTCAATATAATATATCTCAGTTAATGCATTTTTTTAAACTTTCTCAGTTAATGTATTTTTTAAACTTTTAAAATACAGACTAACCAAAAAACTTGAAGAAAGGAGAGAAGAGAAAAGGAAAGAGGAAGAACAGGTAAATTGATGTGCCTGCATATTTTCCTCTTCCTTTCCATAAGGGAACGTCTGATTTCTTGTTTAGCTTGGCACATGGGATGTCTTGGTCCTGTAGTTCAGCATTGCTGCACAGTGAGGGGCATTACCAGTCTCCTGTCATAAAGTCACAGTGTACACTTTTTTGTGATTTTTGGGAATTGCTAGGAATAAATTAGACCATCCTTTCTCCCTCTGCAATGAATCTTTTACACTAAGAATAAAGGGACTTGAATTAAAATTGGTTTGATGCAGATACAAAGTTTTAGTTCCTTTTTGTGAAAAAGAAGTGGGTAGACATTTTGCTGAATATTTCTTCTGGTGGTGTTGTATTCTAGTTCACCATTCATTTTTCTTACTCTGCGCACCTAAACTTCATCATCTCTTTGGGCTTCTAATATACGAAGTTTATGTCTTCAGGCCAAATAAAGGACTGCTTTGTTGTCCTTGGAGGGGACAACCTGTAATTCTGTTTCTTTTTTTCTTTTTTTTCCCAAATTACATTGACCACATAATAATCTTTACAAAACCACTGGCAAAGACTTATAAATTGATAGGATTTGACCATTGACCCATGCTGTTAATACATTCAACTAGACCCCTACATCTTGTGAAGTGGTTCTGTTCCTTTAGCTGTACCCTACAACCAACTTTGCCTGTGTACAAAATGGTATTGACAGAGGATTATTAACTTGTTTCTGGTTCATAAAACTTACTTTTTCTTTGATTCAGAGGGAGATTAAGAAGGAAATTGAGAGGAGGAAAACTGGAAAAGAAATGTTGGATTATAAAAGAAAGCAAGAAGAAGAATTAACAAAAAGAATGTTAGAGGAAAGAAATAGAGAAAAGGCAGAAGATAGGGCAGCTCGAGAGCGTATAAAACAGCAGATTGCTCTGGTGAGTACAGTTTCTTTTTAATGCTTGGCTCTAGAACACTGGTGAAATTGTTTGTCCAGGCGCAGTGGTTTTGGTTTACTACCGGATAGGGTGCACAAAAATAGTAGATTCTAGTGACTCAGAGAGTACCGATTCTCAGTTTTCCTTTATTAGAAATTGTCTCTTTAATTAAAATACAGTTAAGATTAAAACTGAGATAATCTTTTGAAGTAATTTTTCTCCGTGTTATGTTAGAATTTTATCAGTAGTCAAAGACAGTTTTCAAGATTCCCCAGGAAAGAAGCCAAGAATTTGCTCCCTCACAAGTCTCCTCTAGTCATAAGCATTCTTTTTTAGGACATTCAAAGGATTTAGGCACATGAAGCTTAGGATGGTTTTGCATCAGTTGGTTTTAGAATTAAACAGTTGTAATACATATGAAAACCTCTTTTCTTAATATTGTTTATTCATGTATTCATTCAGTAAATATTTATTATCTACTGACCTTGTTCCAGGCTTGAGAGATAGTGACCAAAATCAAGTCCTTGTTTGTTTAACAATAACTGTGGTCCCTGACAGTTGATAAAACTAAAAAATGCCAGATCCAGTGTAGTGAAGTTCATGTATGGTCTTAAGGAATTCATGCATATCTGTGCTCCATATGTTGGAAATGTGTAACTAGATCTTTCTGGCAGTGAAAGATAATTAATATCTAACAACTGTTTTCAAGGACCGTGCAGAGAGAGCTGCTCGGTTTGCAAAGACGAAGGAAGAGGTAGAAGCTGCTAAAGCTGCCGCCCTGCTGGCCAAACAGGCAGAGATGGAAGTCAGGAGAGACACTTCCACAAAAGAGAGAAGGTACTTTATTTCTTGCCAAAGTGTGTGTATGTGTGTGGCAGCTGAGGAGAAAAGCAGTTACGGGCTTCTCTTTGACACCGATTTATTCTGTGGCTTAATAAACAGTTCCAGAAGAATATATTAATCAGTTGGCAGCTGCCAGTGGTATTTGTCATTGAATGTGAATATACAGCCTTAGAGTACTAGATACATGACGTTTTCAAGAAAGCTGAAATCTCTTTCAAAAGACAGAAAGCATGTTCATCAAAATGATTATAGTGATGATCTCACAGAGGAAATGAGATGGTTGGATAGCATCACCAACTCAATGGACATGAGTCTGAGCAAACTCTGGGAGACAGTGAAGGACAGGGAAGCCTGGTGTGCTGCAATCAGTGGGGTCGCAAAGAGTCAGACATGACTTAGAGATTGAACAACAGCGACATGAGTACTTGAATTCTTCACTTGTCAGAATATCAAGTCAAATAGGATTAAGCAGAAGAGGGAGTCCCCTGGCTCTGCACCTGGGAGTTACAGTGGTAGATTTGGTTAGGCGTCACTAGATCCAGGAACCTAAAAGGTGTCATTAGACCTTTTCTGTCTCTCTTTAATCTCCTGGTTTCTGTTTTAGCTTTATTCTCAGAGAAACTCTTTATATGTTGTCAGAAGAGCCTAGGGCCTCCTGGTACCTTCTTGATCTTGAGCTTCTGATCCTAGAGAGGAAAGAAGTGAATTCTCATTCACTAAGAATTCTGACTGGCCCTGCTTGGGTCACATGGCCATCTCAGTACCAATCACTTTGTCACTTGTATGGGCTAGCTGATGGGGGTAGTAAACATGTCCACTCCTGTGGTGAAGGAGATATGAGAAATATTACTGATAATCATACCAGAATGAGTGACATATTGGAGGGATAAGGCTGTTCCCCAAATAAAAGTTTGTTGCAAAGACAGAAATTCAGATTTCTAGTACATACTGCCAGTGGGATTACTATTAATACTTTCTTCTCTGTACTTTTCTGTATTTTCCATATTAGAAAATTAACAAGCATTACTTTTGTAATCAGAAAAATTAAAAATGTTTGTTGATTCAGTTATTTATTTTTGGCTGTGATGGATCTTAATTGCTGCACGTGGGCTTTCTCTAGTTGTAGTGAGCAGAGGCTACTCTCTGGTTGTGGTGAGTGGGCTTCTCATTGCAGTGGCTTCTCGTGGCCGAGTAGGGGCTCCAGAGCCCAGGCTTCAGTAGTTGCAGCACTTGGGCTTAGGTGCCCCAAGGCATGTGGGGGCCTCCTGGACCAGGAATCAAACCCATGTTCCCTGCATTGGCAGGCAGATTCTTAACCACTAGACCACCAGGGAAGCCCAGAAAAATACCTTTTAAGAACTATTTCCCAAAACAAATCAAATACCTAAGAATATATTTAACAGAAGTGTAAAACTTATACACTGAGAACTAGAAAACATTGAAATAGTTAAAGAAGACCTAACTAAATACATGGAAAGATATTTTGTTTTCATAGATCAGAAGACTTTATATTGTTAAGGTGGCAATTACTCCCAAGCTGATTTACACATTCAACACAATCCCTATCAAAATCCCAGTTGGTTTTTTGGCCAAAATTTTTGCAGGAATCGGATTCTATAATTTATATGGAAATTCAAGGCACCCAGAGCAGTCTGGAAAAAGAACAAAGTTCTCAGACTTCCTGATTTTAAATCTTAACTGCAAAGGTACATCAACCAAGATGTTGTGGTGTTGGCATAAGAATGGACATGTGGATTGATGTACAGGCATACCTGGTTTATTGTGCTAGTGCTTTATTGCAGTTTTTTACAAATTGTAAGTTGTGTGGCAAACTTGTGTTGTCAGTTGATCACATTTTTTGCAGTAAAATATTTTTATGAAGGTATGTACATGGTTTTTCTAGACGCTATTGCACACTTATTAGACTACAGTATAGTATAAATATAGCTTTTATGTGCACTGGGAAACCAAAAATTCCATGTGACTTCCTTTATAATGATAACTAAATTGTGGTGGTATGGAGTCAATCTCTCTGAGGTATGCCTGTAAGAGGAATTTGAGTCTCTATAAATAAACCTATATCTTTATGATCAGTTGATTTTTTGAAAAGGATACCAAGACCATTTAATGGGAGAGAGAATGGTCTCTTCAACAAATGCTTCTTGGGCAAGTGGATATCCATGTGTAAAATAATGAACTCGGACCATTATCTCACACACCATATGGATCATCTACCTAAGTGAAAGTTAGTATAAATTCTTGTTGGAGGTGGGAAATAAGGACTTCTTGTGATTTTGGATTAGGCAGTCCTCTTAGACATGACAGCAAAAGCACAAGTGACAAAAGAAACCAACAGATGAGTTGGACTTTACCGAAATTAAAAACTTTTGTACCTCAAAAGATATCAAGAAAGGGCAAAGAAACCCACAAAATTGGAGGGACTTCCCTGGTGTTCCAGTGGTTACAACTCCGTGCTTCCACTGCAGGGGGAATGGGTTCAATCCCTGGTCAGGGAACTGAGATCCCACATGCCACGTGGTGCAATCAAAAATTAAAAAGAATTGGTGAAGATATTTAAGCCAGATATTTATATTTAAGCCATATATTTGATAAGGGGCTGGTAACTAGAATATAAAAAGAAGACTTGAAGTCAACAAGAAAAAGCAAACAACCCAATTTGAATATGGAGAAAGGATTTAAATAGATGTTTTTCCAGGGAAGATATACAAATAGTCAATAAGCACATGAAAAGATGCTCTACATTGTTAGTCATTAGGAAAATCAAATCAAAACCACACCTTCTAGGATGCCTCAATTTAAAGTGACCTCTAAGTCCTGGCAAGAATGTGGAGATTTTGGAAGCTTCCTGCATTGCTAATGGGATTATAAAATGGTACAACCACTTTGGAAAAACAACCTGGCAGTTTCTCAAAATGCTAAGCAGTTCTACTCTTAAGTATACATCCAAGAGAGTTGAAAACAGTGTCCACACAAAAACCTGTACATGAGTATTCATAGCAGCATTCTTCATAATAGCCAAAACGTGCTAATAACCAAAATTCCGTCAACTGAAGAATGGATAAACATGCTGTATCCCATACAGTGGACTATTATTCACCAAAAAAAAAAAAAGGAACGAAGTACTGACACATGGTGCAACATGTACGAACCTGAAAACGGCATACTGTGTGACCAAAGCCAGAAGCCACCCACCTTGTGATTCCATGACGTGAAACGCCAGAAACAGACAAATCCACAAGGGCAGAGCCGATGAGTGGGGTGCCGGGGCAGGGAGAGGGAGGAGTGGGACTCACTGCCGATGGGACTTCCATTCTTTCTGGAGTGATAAGGGTGTTCTGGAATTAGTGATGCTTGCACAGCTCTGACTATATCAAGAACTACTGAATTGTATATTTTAAAAGGATGGATTTTATGTGAATTATATTTCAAAATAGCTGTTGCTAAAAATAATGAGATTGTACTGTGAAAAAAATTTTTTTTCTAACTGGAGAAATATTTGACATAATTACTGAATAAGTTTAAGGAATACAGCATGATGGTTTGATTTACATATATTTTGAAGGGACTGACACAACATGTTCAGCTAACATCCATCTTCTCATATGCATTTGGCCCTTGAATGATGCGAGAGTTGGGGTTGCATCCAAGGTTGCGCCACCCTTGCCTAGTCAGAATTCCACGACTTTACAGTTGGCCCTCCATATCTGTGGTTCTGCATCTGTGGATTGAATCAGCCATGGATAGTGCAGTACTGTAGTATGTATTTATTGAAAAAAAATTTCACCTATACGAGGACCCATGCATTTCAGACCCCTGTTGTTCAGGGGCCACAGGGAGATACAATAAAAAGAAAAAAAAGCCTTTCCTTGTGGGGAGAGGTCTTAGGATTTACTCTGAGCAGCTTTCCATAGCACACAGCAGTGTTAGCTGTAGTCACCCTGCTGTACATTACATCCCCAGTACTTATTTGCCTTAAACTGGAAGTGTGTACCTTTTGACCACCTTCCTCCAATTCCCCCTCCCTCACTCTCCATAAATTCCTGTTTTCATTACACAGTTTCACTTCCATTTTCTCCTAGTTTTAATGATACAGTTTGAGAATTTGTAGAGGTAAAGATGCTGACTTTTAATTTTCACTTTCTTACAGCACTGTTGCGAGAATTCAGTTCCGTCTTCCAGATGGTTCTTCCTTTACAAATCAGTTCCCTTCTGATGCTCCTCTAGAGGAAGCAAGGCAGTTTGCTGCACAGGTAAATTTACGTGTTGAGTTGTCATGAAGGTCGATGAATGGGTTATTAAGTGTAAGAGGGAAAAATTTCCAGGCAGAATTGGAAGACTATGAGTAAGGCATGACTTATCCCCAGGAGGGAGGCACAAGATGCCTCTGGGATGTTGTGGAGTTTCCGTCATGTATGAGTGCCATATGGGAACAGCATATCTGCTTGTTCTTTGAAAAGAGGGATTTGCTGACACCGTATAATAGACTCTGGAAGCTTTTCTCACTGTTGGAGGAATGAAAAGCAAGTGATTTTCCAGAAGTCTAATCTAAAGGAGTTGTCCTCAATAAAAAATGCAGTTTTTCTTGGTCCTCTGCAAATTTTCTGCAAGTTGCTTAGAATGCTGTGGGGCTGGCAGTTTTCCCACCATCTGCTGATTGGTCAAACCTAAAGATCAATAATCAATCTGTATTTGGCAACAAGTATCTTCCTCAAGAATTTACTTCCAGAACTTGGCCTTGTTCAAAATCTGAATGGGTGTGAAATAAACATGCAAATTAGTATAGCCACTATGGAAAACAGTGTGGAGATTTCTTAAAAAGCTGGAAATAGACCTGCCATATGACCCAGCAGTCCCACTTCTGGGCATACACACCGAGGAAACCAGATCTGAAAGAGACACGTGCACCCCAATGTTCATCGCAGCACTGTTTATAATAGCCAGGACATGGAAGCAACCTAGATGCCCATCAGCAGACGAATGGGTGAGGAAGCTGTGGGACATATACACCATGGACTATTACTCAGCCATTAAAAAGAATTCATTTGAATCAGTTCTAATGAGATGGATGAAACTGGAGCCCATTATACAGATCGAAGTAAGCCAGAAAGATAAAGACCATTACAGTATACTAACACATATATATGGAATTTAGAAAGATGGTAACGATCACCCTATATGCAAAACAGAAAAAGAGACTCAGATGTATAGAACAGACTTGTGGACTCTGGGAGAAGGCGAGGGTGGGATGTTTAAAGAGAACAGCATCGAAACATGTATATTATCTAGGGTGAAACAGATCACCAGCTCACGTTGGGTGCATGAGACAAGTGCTTGGGCCTGGTGCACTGGGAAGACCCAGAGGGATCGGGTGGAGAGGGAGGTGGGGGGGGGGGGGGACCGGGATGGGGAATACATGTAAATCCATGCCTAATTCATTTCAATGTATGACAAAAACCACTGCAATGATTAAAGTAATTAGCCTCCAACTAATAAAAATAAATGGAAAAAATAAAAAAATAAACTGTAAAAAAAAAAAAAGATATGAGTACTTTCCAATTACTTTTTATTCTGATAGATTATTTATTCAAAATGAGGCATCAGATGTCCCTTAGGACGTAGGCTTATTATATGTACCAGTATTTCATGTATCACTTCAAGACTGAAATTAGGTTTCAAGTTTTTCTGCTAGATCTCTTCTGCATTTAGTCGGCTATTTCACTTAATAGGTCCCAAGAAAAGGATACCTAAAAAGCTGCTTCCACTAGTGAGCTTGGCTGGACAATAAACTTATTTTATTAACTGTTTTCCCCAAGCTTTATAGTAGGATCCACTTCAAATAGCCTTTTTCATTCCTCTTTTGCCGTGGGGGCCCACTTGGGGCCTCCTCAAATGGCCTGCGCTGGCCTGAGTCTTTTGCTTCTGCCACAGGTAGGTGAGGAGATCACATGAGTAAAGAGAGATCTCTGATTGCATCAGTCCTGTTAGAACTTCACCTCAGTACAGTGATTTAATTTAATGACCTGATGTTGAGTGAGAACAGTGAGGGGTTATATATATATATATGACCTAAAGTAAAATATTTAAAAAACAAAAGTCACATTCTTCCTCTAAAAGATTTTACAAGTGTAGGTGACTCAGTGTGAAGGTGACTGCGTTGCTTGCGCACTGTAAATCCCTAGGACTGGATTGTGTGTTGTATGGGCTGATTACGGGCCGCTCACTCTCTGAGTCGAGGAGGAGGCGAACGCTCGCGCTCCCTCTCTCTCTCTATATATATATAAATAAAATATGAGGGAGATTGTGGTCTCTTCCAGAATTTCAAAGTTTAGCCTTTCGTGTTAGAATTTTTTCATGTTTTTAATATGAAATGCCTGTAACCTAAATGGGTATTTGTGAGATACTAACTTAAGTTTGACAAACAACAGTGAAAATTCTTAATTGCAAACTGTAGTCATAGTTAAGATATATAATTGTTCACTTTTATTCATCTTATTTAGTCTTGCTATTAGAAAACATATTCTTGATATTTTGTGGTCATTTTTGAGTTATGAAAGCTTTTAAGTACTATTTGTATTTGATAGCCTTCAGCTATTTTTTAAAGCACAGAGTTTTTATGAATGTTTTGATTTTATATTTAAGTGAACTTTTAGGTCAGTCATTTTGAATGTGTATAAGTTTGTAATATCTTACTTTAAAAGGCTCCACTGTAAGGTTTTAAAACTTATTTTTATATTACAGACTGTTGGCAACACTTACGGTAACTTTTCATTAGCAACAATGTTTCCCAGGAGGGAATTTACCAAAGAAGATTATAAAAAGAAATTATTGGATTTGGAACTTGCTCCAAGTGCTTCAGTGGTACTGTTGCCAGTATGTATATGCATGTTTATTTTTTCTATTCTTATAGGTCTGTCTGTTCTGCTCTTGATTTTTTCTTATAATTAGAGGAAGGGAAAGTGAAAAAATATACTGTGGATAATTAGAATCCAAATTATCCAAAAATGTTAGATTAATTTATTGTTCCATTATCCCAGGCTTTATATTTGTAATGCTAGTAAAACACTCAGCACACTATAAACGTATTTTCAGCTTCTTCCCTCAGCTTTTCTCATGTCCAGAAAATGGCCAGTAGAGTAGGAAAAACAATGTAGAATATCTGTCTAATCTTCTGAGTTGGTGTCATGTATTTATGTATGATTGCTGTTTATCAATTTTTTTAAAAAAAGTTTTAACATAAAAATCACATTAAGTTTTAAACATAGTAATCCTAACAACATTTTAATCTCTGATATTAAAAAAAAAAAGAGGCTCAGAAAATTTAAATGTGCCACCTTAAGTGCCAGAGCTGGGATGAGAGCCTGGGTCGTCCATAGCTTGGTTAGCGTATGGTAGTGCCCCCAAATCTGCGGCTTCTCTTTCCCTGCCTTCAGTTACTTGTGGGCAACTGCACTTTGAAAGTATTACATGGAAAATTCTAATAATTTGTTTCCTAATAATTTTAATAATTCTAAATAATAAGTTTTAAATTAGGAGCCATTGTGATAGTGTGAGGAAATCATGTGTCGCCCCATCGGGGACATGAATCATTCCTTTGTCCAGCACATCCACACTCTACACGCTGCCTGATCATTAGTCACCTTGCAGCCCTCTTGGTTATCCGATGAGACTGTTGAAATACTGCAGTGCTTTTGTTCAGGTAACCCTGATTTTACATAATAATGGCCCCAAAGCTCAACACTGATGATGCTGGCAGTTTTGATAGTCCCTTGTTGTGCCTAATTTATAAATTAAATTTTATCACAGGTATGTATGTACAGGAAAAAAAATAGTGTATGTGGAGTTTGGTACGATCCATGGTTTCAGGCAAGTATCCCCTGAGCTAAGGGTGGATGACTATAGTTTACCCCGACTGAAAGCAGGACCTCAAACCTAAAACAGTCCTCCAGTACTCAGAATTTTTTGGAGTCATTGATACTTGAAATCTTTTCTCTTTTTTAAAATCATTAAGACTTTTAAAATCAAAATTGCTAACTTCATTACAAAAGTTTAGTTGTCTTAAATGTAATTGGTTCATTTCATTTCTGGTTTCTATGTTGTGATTACTCCTTAAAAGTTCCAGAAGTTCCTTGAAGTTTATATACACTTGAAAAATAGCAAAAGATGGCAGTTTTACTTTATTGCAGTAAACTAAAATCCATAGGACTTTCCCAGATAAAAAATTTATCTAGAACCTTGAGTGTGATGTGGTTGGGCTGATGTAGTCTTTATTTTGGTTTCTTCATTTTTAGGCAGGAAGACCAACTACATCCATGGTACATTCTTCCAGTGGAGACTTTTGGACATTGTTGGGGACAGTGCTTTACCCATTCCTTGCCATCTGGAGACTGATAAGCAACTTCTTATTTAGTAATCCTCCTCCTGCACAGACCTCAGTGAGAGCAGCATCACTGGAAACCTCAAACCTTGCTTCGTCTAGCAACTCAGAAAAAAGGTATTTGTGTTTTCCCCATTTACAAAATATATTAGTAATTCTCAATGCCTTATTCAAAATGAAAAAAAAAATTTTATAGATACTTTGCCTTTTTTCTGTGTAAAGGGGAAAACCCAGCATGTTCTGAAACTTTATTGTATCACCTGGGAAACTCCTTACCTAAGTTTTCTCAGCCATCTTTCTAAAACCTATTCCATAAGCAGCTTCACTGCTACTGATTTTATTATTTCATTTATTGGATTCTCTTATTCCATAACAAAAGACATACTTCTTTCAGGTCTAAGTAGCAGTATCTTTTTTGTTAGCCATACCTTGTCTGACAAGATGTTCATTCCATTAATTTCTCAGAGTCATCGCACATGATTACTTTGAGGGATCATTGTGCTCTAGATAATTTAACTGCCTTCTCTAAGTCATTTAGAGAAGACCAAAGTGAGGAAACTGTGTATTCACTTGAAAATGGTGTCTTCTCAACACTGAAATACAAAGGATCATAAGAGACTACTACCAGCAGCTCTATGCCAATAAAATGGACAACTTGGAAGAAATGGACAAGTTCTTAGAGAAATATAACTTTCCAAAACTGAACCAGGAAGAAATAGAAGATCTTAACAAACCCATCACAAGCAAGGAAATCGAAACTGTAATCAGAAACCTTCCAGCAAACAAAAGCCCAGGACCAGATGGCTTCACAGCTGAATTCTACCAAAAATTTAGAGAAGAGCTAACACCTATCTTACTCAAACTCTTCCAGAAAATTGCAGAAGAAGGTAAACTTCCAAACTCATTCTATGAGGCCACCATCACCCTAATTCCAAAACCAGACAAAGATGCCACAAAAAAAGAAAACTACAGGCCAATATCACTGATGAACATAGATGCAAAAATCCTTAACAAAATTCTAGCAAACAGAATCCAACAACATATTAAAAAAATCATACATCATGACCAAGTGGGCTTTATCCCAGGAATGCAAGGATTCTTTAATATCTGCAAATCAATCAATGTAATACACCACATTAACAAATTGAAAGATAAAAACCATATGATTATCTCAATAGATGCAGAAAAAGCCTTTGATAAAATTCAACATCCATTTATGATTAAAACTCTCCAGAAAGCAGGAATAGAAGGAACATACCTCAACATAATAAAAGCTATATATGACAAACCCACAGCAAGCATCACCCTCAATGGTGAAAAACTGAAAGCATTTCCCCTGAAAACAGGAACAAGACAAGGGTGCCCACTCTCACCACTACTATTCAACATAGTTTTGGAAGTTTTGGCCACAGCAATCAGAGCAGAAAAAGAAATAAAAGGAATCCAGATAGGAAAAGAAGAAGTGAAACTCTCGCTGTTTGCAGATGACATGATCCTCTACATAGAAAATCCTAAAGACTCTACCAGAAAATTACTAGAGATAATCAACGAATACAGTAAAGTTGCAGGATATAAAATTAACACACAGAAATCTCTTGCATTCCTATACACTAACAATGAGAAAACAGAAAGAGAAATTAAGGAAACAATACCATTCACCATTGCAACAAAAAGAATAAAATACTTAGGAGTATATCTACCTAAAGAAACAAAAGACCTATACATAGAAAACTATAAAACACTGATGAAAGAAATCAAAGAGGACACAAACAGATGGAGAAATATACCGTGTTCATGGATTGGAAGAATCAATATTGTCAAAATGGCTATACTACCCAAAGCGATCTACAGATTCAATGCAATCCCTATCAAACTACCAACGATATTTTTCACAGAACTAGAACGAATAATTTCACAATTTGTATGGAAATACAAAAAACCTCGAATAGCCAAAGTAATCCTGAGAAAGAAGAATGGAACTGGAGGAATCAATCTGCCTGACTTCAGACTATACTACAAAGCCACAGTCATCAAGACAGTATGGTACTGGCACAAAGACAGAAATATAGATCAATGGAACAGAATAGAAAGCCCAGAGATAAATCCACGAACCTATGGTCACCTTATCTTTGACAAAGGAGGCAAGGATATACAATGGAAAAAAGACAACCTCTTTAACAAGTGGTGCTGGGTAAACTGGTCAACCACCTGTAAAAGAATGAAACTAGAACACTTTCTAACACCATACACAAAAATAAACTCAAGATGGATTAAAGATCTAAATGTAAGACCAGAAACTATAAAACTCCTAGAGGAGAACATAGGCAAAACACTCTCCGACATAAATCACAGCAGGATCCTCTATGACCCACATCCCAGAATTTTAGAAATAAAAGCAAAAATAAACAAATGGGACCTAATGAAACTTAAAAGCTTTTGCACAACAAAGGAAACTATAAGCAAGGTGAAAAGACAGCCCTCAGATTGGGAGAAAATAATAGCAAACGAAGCAACAGACAAAGGATTAATCTCCAAAATATACAAGCAACTCCTCCAGCTCAACTCCAGAAAAATAAATGACCCAATCAAAAAATGGGCCAAAGAACTGAACAGACATTTCTCCAAGGAAGACATACAGATGGCTAACAAACACATGAAAAGATGCTCAACATCACTCATTATCAGAGAAATGCAAATCAAAACCACAATGAGGTACCATTACACACCAGTCAGGATGGCTGCTATCCAAAAGTCTACAAGCAATAAATGCTGGAGAGGGTGTGGAGAAAAGGGAACCCTCTTACACTGTTGGTGGGAATGCAAATTAGTACAGCCACTATGGAAAACAGTGTGGAGATTTCTTAAAAAGCTGGAAATAGAACTGCCATATGACCCAGCAATCCCACTTCTGGGCATACACACCGAGGAAACCAGATCTGAAAGAGACACGTGTACCCCAATGTTCATCGCAGCACTGTTTATAATAGCCAGGACATGGAAGCAACCTAGATGCCCATCAGCAGATGAATGGATGAGGAAGCTGTGGTACATATACACCATGGAATATTACTCAGCCATTAAAAAGAATTCATTTGAATCAGTTCTAATGAGATGGATGAAACTGGAGCCCATTATAGAGAGCGAAGTAAGCCTGAAAGATAAAGACCATTGCAGTATACTAACACATATATATGGAATTTAGAAAGATGGTAACGATAACCCTATGTGCAAAACAGAAAAAGAGACTCCTATGTATAGAACAGACTTGTGGACTCTGGGAGAAGGCGAGGGTGGGATGTTTCAAGAGAACAGCATCAAAACATGTATATTATCTAAGGTGAAACAGTTCACCAGCCCAGGTTGGGTGCATGAGACAAGTGCTCGGGCCTGGTGCACTGGGAAGACCCAGAGGGATTGGGTGGAGAGGGAGGTGGGAGGGGGGACCGGGATGGGGAATACATGTAAAAAAAAAAAAAAAAAGATACACTATGGTTGTGATAAAAATAAAAAAAAGAAACAGAATGCAAAAAAAAAAAAAAGAAAAGAAAATGGTGTCTTCTTCAGAGAGTTACTTTGGACTAGTTCCTTAACCGATAGGCCTTACTTAATGGTTACTTACTTAACCATTGCACATGGCCATGGTTAGAATGGTAATACTAGTAGACAGCACTAATGATCTTAGCTCACACCTCTGTTAAATTTCTTAATATTTAAAAGAGGTTAACAGGAAGTATTTTCTTAAAATTTAAGATTATTACCCCTTCTGATAATTAATAGCATAATTTATTACACTATATACCTACTGCTGTTCAATACTTTATTGAGCCATTAGTAGCAAATCCTCACACCAATCTTTGATAATTAATGAAAACCCTTGCCTCTGTCTGTTGTGAGTGCTAAGTTGCTTCAAGTCATGTCTGACTCTTTGCAACCCCGTGGACCATAGCCTGCCAGGCTCCTCTCTCCAGGGGATTCTCCAGGCAGGAGTGTTGGAATGGGTTGCCATTTCCTCCTCCAGGGGATCTTCCAAACCTAGGGATTGAACTCACATCTCTTATGTCTCTTGCATTGGCAGGTGGGTTCTTTACCCCTAGCACCACCTGGGAAGCCCCTGTCTGCTGTAAGGAGATCCCTGATCTTGTGTCCTGTTGACAGTCTAAATGAAGATTTGAGTGAATATTGTTACTGGGCTGATGTAGCCTTTATCTTGATGTCCTTCTTAACTATTATTATGCAAGAAGACCAGTTATATCCTTAGTACATTACTCAAGTGAGGATGACACAGAGAAATTCTTCTCTTATAGAGCAGCATTCAAACTAGGTCTTGTTAGGTCTGAATTTTAGAACTCCTACTGAGCAATGAGTGGAAGCATTTCATCCTGAAAGAGCTTGCTGAATGGGTCTTAAAAACTTAATTCAAAAAAGGGAAAAGATCTTGCATTGGGGCAAAGAATGGGACAGATGTTTATCTGAGTGGGTGAAGCTTTGTGTTCCATTATTGCTTTTTTTTTTCTCTCTAGTATTGGAGAATGTATTTTAAATTTCACCTGTTTCCTTCTCATTTTCAGATGAAGAAGGTTTGTTTGTTGTTAATTGTCCACATAGAAATACATCACTCTTAAAGATTTTGAAAGAGTTAAGAATTGCTAACTGACCATTTCCATATATTAAGCTATGAATGGAGTTTGGGATAACCACTTGGGTGCTGTGTAAATTATAAATATTTTAGTAGATATATCAACTTGCATAAATAATAAAGGAGCAAATTAGTTGGCAGATAGTCCCACTGTTCTAAAACTTAATAAGTCATCAAAAAATACATGGACATGGGAAACATTTGACTGGTTTGGCTTAGAGAACAGATGGAGTTAAAAACCACCAAATATAAGTCAGTGTTCGTAGATACAATGATCTCCTGTGGACTTTCCTTAAACTATAGTTGTCTTTGTACTAATGGCAGTTTAAAGGAAAAGACTCTGTGTTACTGCTGCTTTCATTTTATATCATTTTCCTTTTTCTCCCCCTTTTGTTTTATCAGGGAACCAGTCAGAAAAAGAGTGCTGGAGAAACGGGGGGAAGACTTTAAAAAGGAAGGCAAGATATATAGATTGAGGACTCAAGACGATGGTGAAGATGAAAACAACACTTGGAATGGGAATTCTACTCAACAGATGTAGTGTGACAAGTACAATATGTGCAAAAATCATTGTTTCTCTTATGATTTAATTGAGCTAAAATTCTGCTGGAGAAGTGGGACTGCTTTATGTGTTCCAACTCATCTACAAAGTGTCTCTCTATTCCTGCTTAGTGGGTTAAAGTTGTTTAACTCAGACAAGTTAAGAGATCAGACAACTGGCTGCTAGGTCCTTGTATATGGTAACCAACTGCTAGAAGCCTAAAAAAAAAAGTCTGTGACAGCCTCCCTTTATCAGCTTTCTTATTCAGTATTTCATACGCCCATTTTAGCCCTATGCTCTCAGATGATACATTTGTTTAGGGCTGTTTTGCTCCAAATCCCTAAGCCAACACAAGGTAACTGTTATGTCACTGAGTAATCTGACTCTGAGTCAGAACATTTTAACTAGCCAGCCAGGTGATAATTTGGGTTTAACTTTTCTTGCTCATCAGCTGCAAGCAAAATCTTGTAGTTTTTAATCTTACTTAAACACTGAATAAAAAAACTTTTCCAAAAATCAGAATGATCTTATCTTTGCTCTAAGTTTTGTTATTCTAGCATCTTTTAGTTGCACAGGGCTCTGTGGAGGTCATGTGTCTCTGAATCCCCCCACCCACCTGTACTGCCTGGAGCTATCCCAGGAAAGGAGGGACCACTTTATCATAAATATCACTGTAGGAAGAAATCTTCTGACACACACTGATGCTATGTTAGTATCTCTCCTAAGTCAGGGAGGCAGCATTTTGTTTGCGTAACGTAGTGGCCTTTGTTCTCACTGGATGTAAAACGACTGCTGGTCCACAGCTCCTTCTCACTTTTATACTGGAGTTTGCTCTCAGTAATGATAGTCACTCTTCAAAGAAATCACGAACCTGTACTGTTGGACATGAAGTAGGCAATTAAGATTTGCCTCTTGCTCATTTGGTTATTCTTAAGAATTTTGGATTCTTAATCTGATTTACATGATGTGATATGTTTATGTTGGTGAAGACACTAAGAATGTCTGGAAAAGGGAGTAATTTTGACTGTTCCTTTCTAACCTTTTGTGTTTAGATTGGGAGATACTTAACATTGTATAAGGGCTCTGACTTTATTTTGTAATGGGAGGAGGAAATTTTCTCAGAGCAAATTTTGTGTTTCACCTGTGAAGTAACAATGGTAATAGTGTTGGCAAGGAAACAGACCAGGTATGTTGTTGGTAGGAGTGAAAACTAGGATAATCTCTCTGAAAAAACATGATCAGAAACCTTAAAAATTTCATGCTTTTTGATCTAAAAAGTTTTTCTAAGGCATGATCATAAATACAGGCAAAATTTAGGTATAAACCTGTTAAGTTTTATTTATTTTACCTCAGAAACCAACTACATGCCTTCTGCAGAATTAACTTTTGCTAAGGAAAAATGGGACAATACTAATTCAGCAATTTGATTTAACATATTTATTGACTATTTGTTATGTGTTTGGGGAAAAAGCAGGATACAGAGCTGTAGGTACAGTATGATCTCAACTTTATAAACACATCATATATAGTATGTGTTAACATAAAGAAAAACCAACAGCAGTAAGAGTGATTTATATTATGATTTTAGTTCTTTTTGCATCCTTATATGGCTTCTCAGTTTTCTAGAATGAAATTACTTAGGAATGAGTTTGAAATAGATACATCTCCAGCAAGCATCTTATTTAAGTAAAGGTTTGTCATCTTGAAAAATACAGCAATATGTGAATAAAAAAACAATTTTCCCTTGGAAAAAAATCAAATGCAGATCTTAGAGAAACATACATAAAACAATGATTCACAATCTTTGAGTACGAGGATCCTTCCTCAATTTAATATTTTTAAAAGTATAATGGTAAATTCAAAATAGTATGGAAGGCTATAAAATGACATCTTCCTCTTGGCACCACACCCAGTTCTAGTCTCCAGAAGTAATCTGTCTTAAGTTTCTCTTCTAGTCTTCAGAAAATTTTTATGTGTACATAGGCAAGTATGTAATCTTTATTTTTTAAATAAATGGGATCATATTATATGTATACTGCTCTTCATCTTGCATTTTAACATACATGGTCTTGAAGATCTTTCCCCATTAACCCATAGCTACCTCATTCTTACTAATGGATGCAAAGCATTTTACTTGGTAAACTACCTGTTCTCTTATTGCTTTCATTGGTTATTACAGTTTGTGTGCTTGTTTTGTTTTTCTATTACAAACTTTGCTACAGTGAACATCATCTTTGGGAAGGTATCATCTTAGCTGTGGAAGTATACCTGTAAGTCACTGAGTCAAAGGGTATTTGCAGTTTGGATTATAAAAAATGCTGCCCCCCCAAAAAAAAATGCTGCCAAATTGCCTCCTCTAAAGGCTCTGTGAATTTACAGCCCCACTAACAGTTGGAGAATGTGGATACGCCCACATCCTTGCCAACACTGTATTACATTTTTTCATCTTTATCCACATGATAGATGAAAAATGGTATGCATTTTATATGCATCATGTTGATTGTGAATGAAAGTGAACATCTTTTAATATTATTGGTTATTTTATTTTCTGAGAACTGCCTGTGTTTTCTTTGCCAGTTTTCATTTTGTGTTTATCTTTTTCTTACTGATTTACAACAAATTTCATGTATATTAAGAAAGTTAGCTGTTTGTCTAGCATATGCTATAAATATTTTCTCCCTGTTCATCTTGTGATGAGTATGTTGATGGTAATTTCTTGCCATAATTTTTATGTGGTCCTGTTAATCAGTGTTTTTATTTATGACCTCCGGGTCTTAAGTCTTGAATATAAAATACTTTTCCCACTTCAAAAAGTAATTTTAAAAAACCTCACCTGTCTGTTCTAGCACTCTTATGGGTTTCTAACATTCTCATGGGTTTCATTTTTTTACATTTAAATCTTACATCCTAGTAAGGAATGTGGCTCCCTTCCCCTGCCTGTGACTAACATCCTTAGAACTGACCTGTGACCTGCCTCCATTTATGGACTGGTCCATCATCACCCTTCTGCCGCCCACCCCCCCTCATTTGGCAGGTCACCTCTGTCATGCACCCTGTCCCTGGTATGTAGCTGGTCTGTGTCTAGCCTCTGTCTTCCTTTGTGATCTTTCTGTTCACTCTGTTTCAAAACTATAACTAGCTTTATATTTTTTTTCTCCCCACCCTCCCCCCCCAGTTTATCCTGGCTCTTTACAAATGAGTTCTGTGTGCAACTTTATTTTCCATTTCCTGCCCTACCCCTGCAGAAAAGTTATACTGACTTTTGAAGATTAATTTACATAAAATTGACAGCTTATAGCAGTTTTAGAACCATCTTCACCCCATCTGATCAACTTTTCCTGTCTGTTGGTGGGAGGAAATGCTGGTGCCCCACAATCTTGACTGCCAGGTTGGGGCCCACAGTAGTGGGTCACTCGGGTAGGAATTCTCTACGTCTTGAGCATGATCAACTTTTAAAACCAATTGAAAACTATTTTTAAAAAATCACCTAGATATCTAGAAAGAATATATAGGTTAAATAAGTTTGAGTATTCCATACTGTGATTGTCTCATGAGCACATTTGAATGGAAGTGATAGACTCACCCACTTCTCTGAATGTTTCGTGAATAAACATACAGATGTAGTGGGTGTTCTTCCCTTTATCCTGTCTCCGAAAATGTGCTTGCCAGAGACACTGAATCCTGGTCCTCTGGCCTCCAGAAGCCAATAGCAGAGGATTAATGTGGTGAGGCTGTAAAAGGGGATGTTCATAACTTCTGTGGAACCTGTCTTCTGAGGAGAAGCACCTGTAGGAGACATAGCACCTTTTTCAGTTTTTGAAAAACAGAAGGTAAGGGAGGTTGGGAGGGATTTTAAAGCAAGAGATGACCTAGTGGTTAATCTTTTCATGAAAAGGATTGCTGTGGTTTTTACTAATGTTTCCACCTTTAAAAATCTCTGAAAATTAAAACAGCTCAGTTAAATGACTCACAGAACCTAGTAAGTTGAATTCAGTAACTACGTATTTCCACAGGAGCCACTTGCAGGGTCTTCTAATGCCCAGATGAATTCCTGATATTGGGGCAAGGTGGGCATGCTTCCACTTTAATCAGGGACTTGAAATCCTTCACGATTAGTGTCTAAGAATGCAGAGACTTAAGTCTGTTATAGACAGAATATTAGATCCTCAGTGGTGCCGGGGGTGGCAGACTTGCAAAGAAACTGGGCATATTTTACAGAACTGGAGGAGGTGGTCTTCTGGGTCAGAGTGAAGAACTGTGGCTCAGTTGCTCTTTGCCTGGTTGTGTGTGCTTTTGCTTGGAGGGCTTTTGCTTGGAGCTCTTATAGTACTTGTAGGACAGAAGTGCAACACCACAGAATCCAAAAAGCATGAGAGCAAAGAGTACATTAAGCGCTGTCTGGGCCTCCATCGTACCCAGCCTGAGGCCCAGGAACTGAATGTTCTGTCTCACGGGGCTGGCGGTGGGCTCAGCATCTAGGAGAGGACAACAGGCAATTTATGTACCAGTACAGGTGGAGTTATTGCATCATGCTGACCTAGATTAAGCCCAAGCCAGATCCTTGCAGGAGAGAAGCTACCCTGGTATCCAAGGTCAGCACATTGCTGAGGTGACTGTGCACATCCTTCTAATGAGTTATGAGAGAAGTCACGTAGTTTTAGTTTTAAGCATCTCAGCAATTAGAGTATAACCTATACTGGATAATTGTCTCTTAATTTGTATAGTAATTTATACTTTGTCAGTCGTTCAGCAAATCTTGGGCACCTTACAATGTGCCAGGCACAATATTTGTAGTCACTATTTGATCCTGTCCTCAGCATAGCATTTGCCTCATTTCTTGCCTGAGGTTACACAGCAAGTTAGTGGCAGGGCTGGGGCAAGAATCTAAACTTGCTGTTTGCAGGCCAGGGCCTAGTTTCTAGACGTAACTTTAGCCCTTGATACCTTTGTTCCATCCTGAGAATGTCTGGAGCATTCAAAGAAAAAATACTGATCGAATGAATGAAGGGAATGGAGAAGCAGGGAGGGCTGGTAATAAACTAGAAGAAAATGGACTGAGAAAGGCCCGTTTGACCCTTCCCCTCTAGCTTTGTCCATCCCAGAGCCACAGCTCACCTTCTTGCTGAAGACAAGGGTGTGGCCCTGCAGCAGGGTCGGGGAAGCCACTGCACCGGATTATGGAGGCGTAGACCTTGGCTGACTCTCTGGGGATCCTTGGCAGAGCAGGGTCAGTATAGTTCACAAAATGCAAACCAAACTTATCTGAGAAGCCGGTGGCCCACTCGAAGTTGTCCATCAGAGTCCAAACCGTGTATCCTCGAAGGTCCACCTTATCTTGCATAGCTGCTCAAAGACAGAGGCCCCAGCATGAGCTTCTCTGATGGTCTAAGCCCCTCTCCACCGGGCCTGCTGGGGCTGTGCCTGCCCACAGTGCTCCCACAGTCCCCAACTGCAGGTCAAGGCGAGCTTTTTTTCAGCTCTTGGAGAGAGCAGCACCCCCTGCACGGAGGAATCATTAGCTGGTCCCCCGTTGGTGTTACCACAGAGCCATCTGTATTTTTCTAGACAGGCTTAGCCCTAATTGGGAGCTAGGAACATGCGTAGACTAAATTAACCCTGCTGAGTCAGCTATCATCGTCTTCACATCTTGGGATACTGTTCTTGGGCAGTCTCAAGGGACCCTTGAGAAAGATTTTATCTGGAATAAGATTTTCTAGTTGTTTCTCTCTGCTGCTGCGTTGCTCACTTTCTTTTACTCAGCATTACTTACATTCCCCTGTCCTAGTCCCATCATCCCTGGTTGTTCTGCTGAGCTGTAAGGGTCTCAGACTTCTCCTTGGGGAACAAAAGAATACAATCTCTCCAGCCCATTCCTCCTGGGCCCTGCCCAGACTGTCCACAGGAGGCCGCTGCTCTTCAGGGATATGGACACTGGAGGCTCAGACAGAAAAGGGCAGGCCAGGAACTCGGGTCCAGCTGCATCAGGCAACAGGGTTTTGCTTGCTGAACTTTAATGTAGGAAGGAAAAATCTTCGTGTGCAGCCCCCCAAAAAGGCTTAAACACAAAAGGAGGTAGAAGCCTCACCTTTCTCATCTGAGACTCGTGGGTGCAGTATCAGCTGCAGATGTTAGATGTTTCCAACAATAAAAGGCACACAGAGGAAGGGGTAGGCCCATCATACCTTTGAGTGCCTCATTGATGTAACTGCGGAGGTAGTAGATCCTTGCAGTGTCGTTGAGGTATGCTTCTCCCCGATGGGACACTCCATTCTCTGTGACATAGATTGGGGGGTTGTTGTACTCCTCCTTCAACCAGTTCAGGATCCTCCTGAAGCCAAAAGGGGTCATCTTCAGCCAGAAGGAGCCGGAGTCTGGCCAGGAGCGGTCTGTGATGGAGGCCACTCCCCTGCAAGTCCAAACACTAGGAATCAGGTGTCAGTTTATAAATCCCAAGAGATGCTCTGCACAAAACATGAACAAGATTTACACTGAAAAACAAAAAACCCTCTGACTTTTCAGCTCAGTCACATCTGACTCTCTGCGACCCCGTGCATGGACTGCCGCACGCCAGGCTCCTGTGTCCGTCACCAACTCCCTGAGCTTACTCAGACTCATGTCCAGAGAGTTGGTGTTGCCATTCAATGATCTCATCTTCTCTCATCCCCTTCTCCTCCTGCCTTCAATCTTTCCCAGCATCAGGGTCTTTTCAAATGAGGCAGCTCTTTGCATCAGGTGGCCAAAGTATTGGAGTTTCAGCTTCAGCATCAGTCCTTCCCATGAATATTCAGGACTGATTTCCTTTAGGATTGACTGGTTTGATCTCCTTGCAGTCCAAGGGAATCTCCAAGAGTCTTCTCCAACACCACAGTTCAAAAGCATCAATTCTTCAGTGCTCAGCTTTCTGTATGGTTCAACACTCACACCCATACATGACTACTGGAAAAACCATAGCTCTGACTAGATAGACCTTTGTTGGCAAAGTAATGTCTCTGGTTTTTAATATGCTGTTAGGTTTGTCATAGTTTTTCTTCCAAGGAGCAAGTGTCTTAACTTCATGGCTGCAGTCACCATCTGCAGTGATTTTGGAGACCCCCCAAAATAAAGTCTCTCACTGTTACCATTGTTTCCCCATCTGTTAGCTTTGAAGTGATAGGACCAGATGCCATGATCTTCGTTTTCTGAATGTTGAGTTTTAAAGCCAGCTTTTTCACTCTCTTTCACTTTCATCAAGAGGCTCTTTAGTTCTTCTTCACTTTCTGCCATAACGGTGGCGTCATCTGCATATATGAGGTTATTGGTATTTCTCCCAGCAGTCTTGATTCAGGCTTGTGCTTCATCCAGCCCAGTGTTTCTCATGATGTACTCTGCATACTCCTTTCCCGATTCGGAACCAGTATGTTGTTCCATGTCCAGTTCTAACTGTTGCTTCTTGACCTGCATACAGATTTCTCAGGAGGCAGGTCAGGTGGTCTGGTGTTCCCATCTCTTGAAGAATTTCCCACAGTTTATTGAGATCCACACAGTCAAAGGCTTTGGCGTAGTCAATAAAGCAGAAGTAGATGTTTTTCTGGAACTCTTGCTTTTTTGAGAATCCAACAGATGTTGGCAATTTGATCTCTGGTTTGTCTGCCTTTTCTAAATCCAGCTTGAACATCTGGAAGTTCATGGTTCACATACTGTTGAAGCCCGGCTTGGAGAATTTTAAGCATTACTTTGCTTTTCTCTTTTCACTGGTTGTGGTGACATCAGTCAGTGCTGGTGTCACTTTGGACAGACCACCTAAACTTTCTACCAGTACCCAGGAACGGACTTACTCATGGACCTAACCCTGCAAGCCTCTCGGGAACAGGCCATACCTCACACTAGATGTGGAAGGGTGCTGGCACTCCCATGGAGTGCGAGCGCTAGGTCTTCAGAGAAGGGGCTCCCTTGAGTCACCTATGTCTGGTCAACACCTCATGCAGGCCACAGGTGGTACACCCACAGGAATGAAGATTTGGGCCCCCATTAGTGTGATGATGGGGTAGATATTCTAGGACCTGTCTTAAGTGCCCAAGACCCTGTTTCTCTCTCCAGTGATGGGCAAAGAGAGGGTATCACACTGTGCCAAAGGCGTGCCGCCTGGGAAGGCACAGGCTCATGCATTTCATTATAAGGACCAGCCATTTAGATATTTAACATCCACAGTCCTTCAATAAAAAAAAACCTTTTACCAGCAGCTGGTTTTATCTTGTTCAGCTGAACTGAATGTGGGACATTTCATAAGCTGAGCACAGGTGGCTGGGAAGACAGCCCCAGGACCGGTGAGGTAGCAGTCAAGTGGGTGCTGAAACGGGAACCAGCCCCTCTCAGCAAGCCTGACTCTGCTGGTTGGAGGATGAATGGGGATGTCTGCGCTTGTTTCCAAAGAATCCGGACAGATTGACAGCTACTGATGTGGAAAGGTGCTTGTCAGAAAAGGAACAAAAGGGACTTCCCTGGCAGTCCAATGGCTAGGACTCCGCACTTCCCCTGCAGGGGGAGCTAAGATCCTGCGTGCCGCGTGGCACAGCCAACCAAAGCAAAACAAAACCCAACCAAAGAAAGCTTTCTTAATCTAATAAAGAATGTCTACAGGAAAAATAAAACCTACAGAAGACAATGAATGTTGGAATATTAAATCTTTCCTCTTGAGATGGGGAGTAAAATAATGTCTTTGTAAATATTAGATGTTATTATAAAATAACAATGTCTTTGTAAATGTCTCAATAAATATTAGATATTTAGCAATTTTTTAAAAAGGAACAGATACTGTGCATATGTGTAATCCTGTTTTTCTGTAATATATTTCTGTATGACATTTCTGACATATAAACTATAATATATATATCATACATATAAAGAGAGGTAGTATACCTATACACATACAAACACTTCTGAAATGACAAGAATTTTCTCCTCTTTCTAACGTTTCTACTGTGAACATACATTATTATAATAGAGAAATGGTTTAACTTCTACCCTCAAAGGTAAAAAAGAAAGTTATTTTAACTGAAACACATCTGATAAGTGAGAAAAATCTGATGAAAAAACATATGTATGTAAAATCTTAATTATTTTTAAACACTCTAAGCCTGTCTGCTTTAATGAAAAGCATCTTGGACACCCTAGTCTGTATAACTGTCTGACTGACAGGTGTATATCAGGAGTTGGGACTTGTCTTGCAAACCCCAGGATACACAGCATCAGGAGGCGGTTTCAGAGGCTGTGCAGGCCTCTAAGTGAGAGAGGGCACTCTGCTGTCTTTCCCGAAGATTGTTCCAGGCACCCTTCCTTACCTGTCTGCATCGAAGGAAGAGATCGAAGAGGTATAGTTGAGGTTGTAGGCCAGGACAGTGGTGTAGTGATTGAACCCAAAAAAGTCGTAGGTGCCGTTGATCCTCCTCCTCTCACTCTCCGTGAACTCAGGGAGCCTGGGTGGGAGGAGCCGTTAAGGGCGTGGGGCTTTGGGAAGGGACTCTCATAGGGCAGGGCTGGTCTCTGCACTCAGGTACCCGAGGTGCCCAGGGGCAGCCGACCAGGAGTGAGGAGAGGCCCTCCCAGGTACCGCTGAAAGCGCCTGAGCCTCCTTCCACCAGGACACAGACCTCACCTCCCTCACAGACCCTCTCTTCCGGTTTTAAGTTTTTACTGTAGTTTGTTTAGACATGCTTGTTTTCTCCAAAGTCTGTCCATACTAGTAGGGGAAATGCGTTTACAAATCGAATTGATTGACCTTTTGAGATCTGGACTTTTCTGCTCACATGATTTTACTGCACTTTCTTTTTAAACATCTAGTGGAACATTTTCCATATATATATTTTTTCATTGAAGTATAGGTGATTTACAATGTTGTGCCAGTCTCAGCTGTGTGACTCATTTATATACATAAGTACATTCTTTCCATGTGTTCTCAGTGAGACTTTTCTGTGTGATGTGATTAACATGCCCTTGTGTGCGGCACTTAGAGGTTCCCCTCTCCCAGATCCTGACCACATGCTGCTGGTTTAGGGTTGCTGAGAGAATGCCCTGCTTCGGTGTCTGACGCTTCATCTTGGCCTTCCTGCTACCATTAACCTAGGAAAGAACCTTACTTCCTGGAGTTTCTGAAATACTGGGGCAAAACTAAGGCCCAAGTTCCCCACCCCACCCCTGCCATACCGTTTACTTCCCTGCTCAGGAGCCAGCAGGGGCTCCTCAGATCCTGTGGCTTCCAGACGGAGCCCCTGTGCCCAGCCTCCAGCCCCTCTACCGTGTGGCCTTGGCCCTCCCCGCGGCTGGGCCAGTGTCCCCAGTTGCAGCCGTAGGTGCTCCACTCACTTCTACCCCTAGGCCGGTGCTCACACGCTTCCCCTTGGATCGAAAGCCTTCTGCTTTCCCCAGTGCTGTTCATTGTCAAGGCCCAGTCAGCCGATACCCTGTCTTGTCCAGGGAGTCTCCTGGGTCCACCCAGCCAGCCCTGATCTCATCTGAGTCTTCGATGCATGAAGAAATTGGGGAATAGAATTCCTTGGAGTCATGAAGGTCACTGTCTTCCCAGCTGCTGTGTCAGCACCTGAGGAAGCCATACTTGGAATCCCCTCTGTGCGGGCCCTGCTCGGCCTGGCTGTGGCCTTGGTACACAGTAGGTGCTTCAGCACGGTTGTGTTGATGGACTGGAGCACTCGCTTGTTGGAGACCAGGGTTGACAGATCAGAACTTTTGGCTCAGCAGGACTTGCCCTAACCAGGCCAGCACATGTGTGATGTAAGGGCTGGGGTGGATTGCTTAGTCCTCACAGCTGGGCTAGAGGAGGCGCAAAGAGGGAGCTCGTGGGTCACTAAGAAGTGGGTGCCCCAGATGTCCTGCCTATTCTGAAGAGTAACGAGAGCAACTGCCCTTGTCAGAGCCATGCCTGTCCGGGCCTGAGAGCTCCACGTACACACTCGTGTCGTCTTTCCAGCACGCATGGAAGCGCAGACAGTAACTTGCCTAAGACACTCCTCTCCAACCCCAACAGCACCTCTGCCAGCCGCCCAGGACCTACCGAGACTTGTTGAGGCCTTCCGCTAAGCTCCTGTCACGGATCCGCGTCTTCATCACCTCAGGGTAATCCCCATTCTTGAATATCGGATGTGCGAACCAGCCTCCCATGAACTGCAGTGGTGGTTGGAGGACAGTCAGCGTTGGCATTAACAGGCAGGCTCCCTGCCCAGGAGTCACTGACCTCAGGCCTCCTTCTCCCCACCCAGTCTTAAACCTGCCGCTCTTCCAAGGCTGTTCCCATGTTGCAGTGTAAATGCCCATGGGTCTTGTCACCATGCTGGGAGTTCACTATGGGCAGGGCCGTGTTCTCACCCACTGCAGCTGGAGGGATGTGGACGGTGCTGAGCCTTGGGCCGGCTGGATGCTGCCTCGCTGCCCTTAGGAGGGCCGGGCCCAAGATGGGGAGAGACTCCAAGCCCCCACACCCTGATTCCCTCGCTGACCACAGCGGAGGTCTAATGCCTAAGGACCCATCAGAACCTTGTAGGGTGGGCAGAGATGCGAGGCTCTCCTGGTTACCCAGGCAAAGGGTGATTCCTCATGGGCTTTGGACTTGCAGCCCTAAAGTGGTGAACTTTCCTGTCTGTTTTCTTGAGTAAGGTTCAGGCCACCCTTAGCCCTTAGAGGGTATACACGGCGCTTGAGCGCTGTGACGCTGTGGGTGCTGAGATCTCGGCTTGTCTCTTCACATCCTCCCTGCAACTGCTGGCTGCTGCCTGGAATGTGGGGTGAGAGCAGCCTTCCATTCTCAGCCAGAGATGAGGTTTAGAACATACTTGCTCCAGTAAAAGAAGCTTCAGTTCACTGGGAGGTGAGGAATTGTGTTTCCAGGGAAGCTGAATTCAAGAGGGGGTGTGCGGATCACTGTCCTGGGCTGCAGGATCGCAGCTCACTGACAATCTGATGATTAGACTACAGTGTGACATTTCCGAAAATGAATTACTGCTCTAATTCATCAGTTCTGTGAATGTGAAATGAGGGAATGCCTTAATTCCATGGATGGAGGAGCCTGGTGGGCTACAGTCCATGGGGTCACAAAGAGTCGGACACGACTGAGCGACTTCACACTAGGCAGAGAAAGTAAAGTCAGACGGTGACACCCAGAAGTGAAGTGTGACATTGCAGCCCAGTCCTACAGTCAAACCACAGATTGGAGAGGCTGAATTTCTGTTATTTAGACTCAAGCCAGTGTTGCATCCAGTAAGAGTTGTATGTATAACTGATTTTCTAAGACTTGAAAGAAAACTCAACCCCAAATAACTTTCATTCCAGCAAACCTATGGGGTAGTTAGGTCACCTCCATTTTAAAGATGAGAAAACTAAGATATTAAAAGGTTAGATGATTTTCCCAAGTGCACAAAATAAGGTAACAGCAAAACAAGGCCTAGATCCGAAATCTTTGTTTCACAGTCTAATTCTGTTTTCATTAGATCACGACAGGAGGGGAAAAGAGAAGGAGTAAAAACAACGCCCAGAGGAAAATCTGACCTGAACGTATCTCTTGGCTGCCTCCACATCCTCCTGGTTAGAGGGGTCTCTAGGCTCAGCCCAGTCGCTGCTGATGGTGATGGAAATGATGCCACCTTGACGGGCACGGTATACATCATTGTACAGATGCCAGACCTCAGCATGAGCCTTTATTAGGTTGTGGCCAACAATGTAGGGGGCAGTGCCAGGCCTAAAGGAGATTCCTGGAAATACAGACATAGACGTCAGTGAAGGATAAATGTGGCCAGGACTTCCCTGGTGGTCCAGTGGTTGGGAGTCTGCTTGCCAATGCAGGGGACATGGGTTCGATCCCCAGTCCAGGAAGATCCCACATGCCTCAGAGCAACTAAGCCTGGAAGAGTGTGTGCCTCAAGGGCTGGCATCCTGACTCTCTTTGAGGACCCACCGTGAAAGTAAGAGCTGGAGCGTATAGCTGATGGAGGCAGCTGACAAGGATTCCTCGAAAGCAAACGTTAGAAAAGCAGCCTCTCGTGTGTTGGAGGAACAAAACACCAAAACGTCAACCAAGGACCAATGGCTGATGCATCTGATAATGCGTTGAAGCAGATCTCCCCGTGGCTCTTCCCAGCTTGGACACATAATCCCAAGAAATCACAGAAATGAACACAAATTTACTCTCTAAGGCTCAGAATCAGAGAAAAGGAAAATCAGAGGGTTCTCAAAGGACAAGGACAGGTCCATAATTCCTTATTCAAAACTCTTAGGAATGCAATGTTGTAAGTCAAATGTACGTCTGTTTAAAAAAAACTCAGAGTTTGATGTATGTAGAAATTGAAAGGTTTCTGTGTCTTAGAAAAGTAATAAGTTGCATATAACATATTTACATATGACCCCAGCAGGGCTCAGGACAGCTCTCCATAATTAAAGACACTGATATATCTGCAGCAGAATTTTTGAAATTTCTAAGTGGGATGCCAACCTTATACTGGTTCATAACAGGTTAAGCCCAGGTCAGCCAAATCAAATACTGGGAACTTTGGCATTTCGGGAGTTGCCAAAAAAAAAAAAAAAAGAACAAACCCACTGTGGATCTGTATAGTCTGATGTATTGTCCTTTTCTGTATCAGTTAGTTCTCACCCTTGATCTCGGGGAGCTTCTTATCAGAGGCAGATCAGATGCACAAAGCAAAGAAGCCACTTGGCAGTTTGAGACGTGAGGTTCACGTTCAGCAGAAGTGGTGTCAGAAGGAGCGGTGCGGAGGCAGGAATTCTGAGGCCTTGGGGCCTTCCTGGCCACCTCCTCCAGGGCCACCTGGATTTCACGTCTGTGGTGCTGAGAAAGCCACCCTCCGACTGCTGACCAGTGGGGTCTGAGGTCTTTACCTGGAGCTGCCGTCCCGTAGCCGTAGCCCTGGTTAGCAACGACGTAGGGCTCGTTGAGTGTGATCCAAAACTTCACCTTGTCCCCCAGCCTCTGGAACAGCACGTCTGCATACTCCTTAAACCGCTGTACAATCGTCTCATTCTCCCAGCCCCCAACATCCTGGAGTGCCTGGGGCAGGTCCCAGTGGTAAATGGTCACCTGTGAAAACGCAAGACCAGCATTTCCATCAGCCTGCTCTTCATGGGAATCCACCGATGCTGCATGCGCCAGCATAAATGTCTATTGCGAAGGATGAGGAGGAATGATGAGACAAAAAAGCTTCAAAGGTTCTTTGGAGAAAGGGTAGGACAGCAGAGCTGAAGTGTGAGAAAAATTCATACATCTGGATCAGAGAAGCCTGGGTTTGAGTCTCAGCTCTGCCCCCTACCAGCTGTGTGACCTTGGCTCAGGCACTAAGACCTCCGTGTCCTGCAATCACCGTGAGGCCTAAACCGCACGGCAGGGGACAGGAAAAGTGACTGACATCCTGCCAGCTCTTTGGCCAGTGTTAGCTCTGACTGTAATCAAGGATCAGAAATGCTAGAGCTTCAGCATTCTGGATAGAATGCTCTGAGGGTTTCAGAAGGAGGGAGGCATTTGGCTTGTCAAGGGGCATCCCCAAGGACATCTAGTGCGTCTGCAGGCTCTTCCTGTGGGGTGGGAGCCCTCTGCTGGAGACGGGCCCCTCTGGCCACACCCATGTGGTGGCCTTTCCTCCCCAGGGTCCCCCTTGATGCTCCTGACACATCCCCATGCCGGGGTCTCCACTGAGCTGCCAACCATCCTCAGCTCAGACCCAGTCTTTCCCTTTCCCTGAGATGCCCTTTGCCAGCCTAAGCACCCACCCAGATTCTCTCCTTTTTTAAGGCCTACACCTCCTTGAGGGTTTTTATGGCCACACCGCTCTTCTGCCTTGTCTCAATGTCCTTAAGAACCACAGGGGACTCCTTGATGGTTCAGTGGTTAGCACTCTGAGCTTTCACTGCCCAGGGCCCAGATTCATTCCCTGATCGGGGAACTAAGATCCCACAAGCCTTGTGATGCAGCCAAAAATAAATAAAAGTTTAAAATCTATAAATAAATAAAAGCTTAAACACTGTTTTAAAAAACAGGAACCACAAAATAATTTAGCCCTGAGTTGTGTTCTCTCTGAACTGTGCATAATGGATATTAATTCCCCCTGATCTTGGGGTCCTACAGGACAGCCACTGGCCCTCCCATCTCCATCACAGCTGGCACTCACATGCACTGTAATAAACGCTGCATGACCAATTTATTCCTACAGTGCTAGCAGTGTGAGGAGTCCAGGTAGCACTTTTTAAAATTAAATATTTATTTTTATTTATTTATTTGGCTGTCCTGGGTCTTAGTTGCAGCATGAGAACTCTTAGCTGTGACATGTGGGATCTAGTTCTGTGACCAGGAATCGAACCCAGGCCCCCGGCATTGGGAGCTCGGGTCTTAGCCAGGGGACCACCAGGGAAGTCAGGCAGATAGCACTTTAATTTGTAAAAGTCTCTGCTTTGTGGGGTGGGAAGAAGGGGGTTGTAATTCAGAGATTATACTCTGGCTGTAGCACGTAATCTCCAATCACTACAGAAGAGGACACCCCAGTACCATAGAGCTGGTGCCCTCTGGCCCTTTATCATAAATGGCCCAGGAGAAAAGGAAAAGAGTTCATTGGCTCCCAAGTAAAATGTAAAAGATCTGGTGACAGCGAAGGAAGCCCCCACGTGAGCTTTATTATTCATAAAAACTCATGGCTTAAAAGCACACGAACTTTTGCCTCAGCAGTTCTGCTTCCTAGGATCATATCCTATAAACTTCTACCCTAGTCTAATTATGTAACTACAGTTACACAGACAGAGGAGCCTGGTGGTCTAAAGACCATAGGGCTGGAAGGAACTGGACACGACTGAAGCAGCTTAGCATGCATACCCACTCATTGCAGTGCTGGTTACAAGGCAAGAAGAGTGAAAAGAGGGAAGAGTGTCCACTAATAGGAAAGTGATTAGAGAAGTGAGGTGCAATTTTCACATAACTGAAAAGACAGAAAGAACAAATGAGGAAAATACATATGGATATGGAAATACCTGTAAGGACTTTTGTTAAATAAAGAGTATCAAACTATATGTATCAATCATACCATTAGGAAAAAGGAAGGGAAAAAGCACAAACACACACACACATAACCTATTGTCTTCTGGTCAGAAACCCCAAAGGACATGAAAACTCAGCAAACTTAGTCACCTGTAAAGCGTGGCGGTCAGGGACAGAAGGAAAATCTTTACAGGCAACTCAAAAACTAAACTTGACAACAGCACTTTTTCCCCACAGTAGATGCGCTTCGCAGCCCAGCTGGCCCCCTCTCGAGGACTTGGCCAAGGCCTGCTCAGGGCCCCACCTCACCTGGGGTTGGATGTTGGCGGCCAGCAGCGTGTCGATGAGCCGCACGTAATAGTTCAGGCCCGCTTCATTGATGTACTTGTTGGTCCCGTCAGGGAGGATGCGAGTCCAAGAGATGGAAAAGCGATAGTGGGTCACGCCCAGGGTCTGCAGGGCGACCAGGTCCTCGGCAATCTTGTGGTAACTGTCACAGGCCACGTCTCCCGTGTCATTGTTCTCAACCCTCAGGGGTGTGTGAGAAAACGTGTCCCAAATACTGAGTCCTTTGCCATCTGCTCTCCATGCACCTTCGATCTTAAGATGGAAAGACACGGTCAAGTCAGTCATGTAGTGAAGCCCTTCCTGTCAGTGGGGGAGGCCTGGGTCAGGCCATAAGCCAGCATCACCTTCTCTGCTCCCCCCGACTTCGGAACTTCTGCAGCTTTCTGTACACACTTTCTGAACGTCACGGCACTATCACACTGCACTGAGCAGTTATGCGCCTGCTGCCTGGCTTCCCTCCAGCAAGACTAGGCAAGACTAGATGTGGCCTCTTTCATCTTGGTGGCCCGGCTGTCAGTGCAGCAACGTCTGGTGTATGGTGGGTGCTCATTAAACGTTTCAATGAACAATCTGATGTGCCTTAACCCCAAGCACAGTCAGACAAACATCCTGATGATGCCAGACGTGGAGGCAGAGTTTCTAATCAGGATGGGTATCACTGTTTCTATGTCTCCTTTTCCTCCTTTCACCTAATCTACATGGAAACTGACACAAGCCACTGAGCAAATGCCTATGCATGGGCTTGGGTAGGTCAAGACGTGTAATTTCTATAAATTACTTTAAAACACTTTGACAGGTATGGTGTGATACTCTGTGACTGGCTGCAGCTAAGGCAGTGTGGTGTTTTAACCAAGAATGCACATCCAGGCTTGGCCTGCTCGGCCCCTGTGAGAGTGGCAGGGCGTTGGAGCAGCGGGAAGGACCAGGTGTTGTCCATCTGCATGCAGGAGATGGCTTGGTGGTTGGGAGACTAGTTAATGCAGGGCGACTAAGACAATAAGCGACTATGTTGAGGATATTGGGAGTTAGATTTCTCATCATTGGAGAAGAGAGATATGACTATGAAAAGCGGGAAAGCTGGCATTAACCTTGTGAGTAGGATTGGACTTGGAGGTATCAAGGTGTTTTTTTAAACATACATAAAGATGTGGGTGGATGTAGAAATGGATATCTGTGCACACACACTGTGTGTCCACATGTATTTCCTTGCTCTGTCCACTTCTAGAGGGCCTAGAAGTAATGACCCACTAGCATACTAAGCACCTAGATCTTGGCTTCTAGATGCCCTTATCCAATAAAAGAAACCAGGGCTCATTAGAGAAATGGCTGATTAGAGGGCTGGAGCAGAAAAGACAGAAGATGCTTGGAACATCTTGTACCAGAAAGAATTAGAAAAGTGCTCAAAGAATGATGGGCAACGTCAAAAGGACACAGGCTCTAGCTAAAGGACTATCCCCCTGGCAAAATGTGGGATGATTTAAATATCTCCATACTACTGATGACAAAAGTATAACCTACTGAACAAAATAGAATTTCTTAAGGCCATACTTTTGATACATATCAGTATGTATTTATATGTAAATAAAATGTAAAAAAGCAGAAGAAAAGACAAAACTTGACCTTTCTGTTGGATGCCACCTAATAAATATAAAAGCAATGATGGACTGAGAAAAATCACCGTTAGTCAACTGTCACAGTAATACCTGATTCAGGCCTGCAGCCATTCCCTAGAATGAGACCCCTTCCCTGGGCCTAGAGGACGTCCAGCTGGAAACCCATGGGGCTGTGGTTCTCACCCAGGGACTATTTGTCCCTGAGGAGACACTTAGCAAAGTCTGGAGACATTTCTGGGTTTTACAGCTGGGGGAGGGGTCTACTGGCATCCAGTGGGCAGAGGCCAGGTTTGCTACTAAACATCCCACAGTGCACAGGATGGACCATGGTGCACGGGATGGACCACGGTGCATGGGATGGACCACAGGGCACAAGACAGACCACGGTGCACAGGATGGACCACGGTGCACAGGATGGACCACGGTGCATGGGATGGAGCACAGGGCACGGGATGGACCACAGTGCACGGGATGGACCACGGTGCACGGGATGGACCACGGTGCTCGGGACGGACCACAGGGCACGGGATGGACCACAGGGCACAAGATGGACCACGGTGCATGGGATGGACCACGGTGCACAGGATGGACCACGGTGCACGGGATGGACCACAGGGCACAGGATGGACCATGGTGCACAGGATGGACCACAGGGCACGGGATGGACCATGGTGCACGGGATGGACCACGGTGTACGGGATGGACCACAGGGCACAGGATGGACCACGGTGCACGGGATGGACCACGGTGTACGGGATGGACCACAGGGCACGGGATGGACCATGGTGCATGGGATGGACCACAGGGCACGGGATGGACCATGGTGCACGGGATGGACCACAGGGCAAGGGATGGACCATGGTGTGTAGGATGGGCCATAGTGCACAGGTCAGGCCACAGTGAAGAATTCTCCAGCCCCAAATGTCAGTTGGCCTGGCTGGAGAAACCCTTCTACAGAGGATTCTGTCTGCCTCAAGTAAGAGTAACAGGATCCTGTCTCTGAAATCTTGGCATTTCCTCCAATGAACCTTTCATGTTCAATGTTGACCAGAGCTCCAAAAAGGACCAAGAGCTGTGGTTTCTTCCAGGCCATGGACAGACACATGAACAGCTTCTATGTTTGTGTGCTTAGCTAATGTACACCTGGATACTGCAGAATTTGGTCTGAGATGTCATTATATCATGGTAGTCAGGTCATCTGGCGGGGCTACCCTCACCTTTCTTGCAAACAGTTTCAGCAGCTATGGTCACCTAGAAAAAACTCAAGAGCTGAGCAAGCCAGAGTCAGGTCAGCTCAGACCACTGACCCCAACCAGGTTCCACACTGAGAATGCAGAGTGCCCACTCCTGGATCAAAGAAAATAAAAGGAGGCAGGAGATGTAAAGTAGGGTCCCACCCTTAGCTGCCTGGGCAAATTACACTTCACTTTGTAGCTTTCTTTTCTCCGAGGAAAAGTGAACCCTTGTATTTTCTGTATTAGTGAGCTTCATTTAGCACGAATAAGGTAAAGGTATGATGTTATTAGGATGTCAGAAAAAGTCCAGGTCCACATGATAGTCATTTTGATCAAACTGTCTGCTTGGAAGATACGAGGTAAGAAATAAGGCATCCAGCTGAGAACCTTCATATTTGCACATCTTTGCCTAAGGGTTTCTGCCTGGCTCCACCTGGCCTGCTAACACCTGTCTCAGCCTGGCCCTTCTAACTGAGCTTGTCCACCTGAGTTTGGGGATGTGAAGAGGCCAGGCTGTCTGGGAAGGGGCCTCGATCCCCACCCTGCGGTACCTGTCCCTCCCGCCCACAGGTCTGTGAAAACCCACTGCTCCTGCCTGCCCTCTGCAGTCCCGACAGAGCCTGGCGCGTAGTAGGCTTACTGTAGACGGCCAGCTCCTCACCTGATACGAGGCGGTCGCTGCACTCCAGATGAAGTCCTTGGGGAACTGTCCGTATAGGAACTCATCGTCCTCGGACAGCGGCATGCCATTGTTGGCGATGACCTCTGTGTAGTAACCGGCTGAGGCTCTTGCCGTGCGAGACCTGCTCACGTCGTCGAAATCAACCTGGTACAGTCCAAACTTGACCGTGTAGCCTTCCAGCCACTCAAAGCTGTCCATCAGGGACCAGGCAGCGTATCCGCGAAGGTTGACGCCGTCAAGTCTGTAGGCTGGGGACATTGCACAGAGGGCAGAGGACAGCTTTACACCAGGAGGGTCGGGGCCCAAGAAGCACAGCCCCGTACTGGCTCCTCACGGCGGGCGGTCTTCAACCACCAACTTGTACACACAAGCAACGTGTGCCATGATAGATCACCCTTTTGTTAACACTGATAACCCCATAACAAGTATTAATGGCTGATCTTTGCAAAATCAAATTCTTTTGTTGGAGTAAAGGGACATGTCTGCAATTCAAGAGTCTTAGCCCACTTTAGAGGTTATCCCTCTGGGGTACATGGAACCTGAAAGTCAGTGCTAGTCATTCAGTCGTGTCTGACCATTGGTGACCCCATGAACTGTAGCCCACCAGGCTCCTCTGTCCATGAAATTCTCCAGTCAATACTGGATTAGATTGCCATTCCCTTCTCCAGGGGATCTTCGTGACCCAGGGATAGAACCTGGGGCTCCTGCATTTCTGGCAGATTCTTCCCATCTGAACCATCAGAGAAGCCTGACAAATGGAATCTACCAGAATATAGTAAGCTCCTTGTCAGCATAAAGGTGTTCTGTTCACTGCCGTGTCCCCAGCACTTAGAATAGTACTTGTCACACAGTATTTGGTCAGTAATGAAAACACTCCTGTGGGACTCCGTGTCACATGTGGGGAGATGATCATTGCTTTTTTTCAGATTCCAGAGGGATAAGTAACCTCAGACAGGGAAAGAGATACAGGATCAGGGTATAAACAAGAGACCTGTTGATGGTTTGTACTCCATTCTGCCAAGCCTCCTGACATACGGATGTTGGGAGACTCTGTAAGGGGAACATGAACCCTCACGTACCTTTCAGAGCTTCGTTGATATAGGTTTTGTGGTAAAATATCCTGTCGGTATCTTCCAGTTTGGGGTCCGTCAGCCCCGCTCCGTTCTCAGTGATATAAATGGGGATGTCCCCATACTCTTCCTTGACCCAGTTGAGCAGTCTCCGCATCCCCCAGGCGGCAGCCCTGTTCATGGCTGTGGCGGGCCAGGAAGTGTCCTCCCTCTCCAGCAGCTCCTGGTCACTCGTGTAGGAGGGTGGGTTTAACCTGGGTGTCGTGTGTTGCACGATCCTGGAGGAGTAAGTGTTGAGGCAGAACACATCGGCGGTAGCTGCGATGTACTGCTTCTCCTCCTCCGTGAAGCTGGGCAGGCGGGAGGTGGCCAGGTGTTGTAGTTCACTCCTGTTCCCCACCTTCCACTTCATGGCATCTGGGTAGTCTCCGTTTCGGAAGATGGGGTGGGCAAACCAACCCAAGGAGAATTGCAGCATTCGGTCAGCTGCCTCCACATCCCTGGGGACCAGCGACTGGGGCTCTGCCCAGTGGGAACTGAGGCTCAAGGAGATGACCCCCTTCTGCTCTTGCCTGTACTTCTCATCATATGTGTGATAGACTCTGGCATGAGCTTTGATGATTGCGTGGCCAATCCTGTAAGGTCCCCAGCCTGGGTCATTCACATTTGGGGGAAATTCCCCTGAGCCATACCCCAACCAGGCCTGGTACGTGGGCTCATTAAAAGTCATCCAGAACTTGACTCTGTCACCAAAGGTCTGGAAGCAGAAGTCTGCATAGCTGTTGAACAAGTCAATCAGGGAAGGATTCTCCCAGCCTCCAATATCCTGCAGAGCCTGGGGCAGGTCCCAGTGGAACAGGGTCACCATGGGAGAGATGTTGTTTTCCACCAAGCCATTGATCAGCTTGTTGTAATAATCAACACCATGTGTGTTGACAGAAGTGTTTCTCCCAGTTGGGAAAATCCGAGACCAGGAGATGGAGAAGCTATAAGCCTTCACCTTCAAAGCTTGGAGTATGTTCAGATCAGCATCCAGGTGGTTATAGCTGTCACAGGCCACATCTCCAGTGGCGTTGTCTTTCACGTTGCTTCCTGGTGTGTGGGTAAAATTGTCCCAGATGCTGGGGCCTTTGCCGTCAGCGTCCCAAGCTCCTTCAATCTGATAGGCTGATGAAGATACGCCCCACAGAAAGTCATCCCTGAATGTGCCGTGGTAGAACAGATCTCTCTCAAACTTGGGTTGGTTGGAGAACTTCTCCCAGACTACTTTTGCCTTAGAGGGCACCTCAGATGGAAAAGTGAAGGCTCTGATTTTCTGGGGGACATTTGCTATACTGGGTGATGATAGTCTTTTTACTACCTTGTTGAGGAAACCGTTTTTTTCGATCACGCTGGTGAAAAAATAGGCAGATTTCCTGGCAGTCCTTGGCCTGCTGCTGTCATCGAAGTTGACATGGTACAGCCCAAACCTCTGGCTGTACCCAGAAGGGCCTTCAAAGCCATCAATGAAGGAACGAGCGATGTAAGACTGAACAACCACCGAGTCTTCTTTGACAGCTGTGGAGAAAAACAAAATTGGGACTGCTTTAAAGTCTCTGTTACTGATTATTCTAAATTCTCTGCTGTTACTTTTTAAATAGAGGTATTTATTTGGGGTTTCTTAGCATTTCAGCCATGCTCCTTGGAAGAAAAGCTATGACCAAACTAGATAGAATATTAAAAAGCAGAGACATTGCTTTGCCAACAAGTCAAAAGCCATGGTTTTTCCAGTAGTCATATATGAATGTGAGAGTTGGACTATAAAGAAAGTCGAGCACCAAAGAATTGATGCTTTTGAACTGTGGTGTTGGAGAAAACTCTTGAGAGTCCCTTGGACTGCAAGGAGATCAAACCAGTCAGTCCTAAAGGGAATCAGTCCTGAATATTCATTGGAAGGACTGATGCTGAAGCTGAAACTCCAGTGCTTTGGTGACGTGATGCGAAGAACTGACTTATTGGAAGAAACCCTGATGCTGGGAAAGATTGAAGGCAGGAGGAGAAGGGGATGACAGGATGAGATAGTTGGATGGCATCACCAGCTCGACAAACATGAGTATGAGCAAGCTCCAGGAGTTGGTGATGGACAGGGAAGCCTGGTGTGCTGCAGTCCATGGGGTCAGTCACAAAGAGTCAGACACAACTGAGCGACTGAATTGAACTGAGCACTGCAGCCCAGAAGACACAGATTTAAGCAGCACTTGAATTGTGTTCTGCTATAAAATAGGGGAGGCTTGTAAAGGCAAAGCTTGTAAGGTTATATAAATTGTTTATCTAGAATTAGGATTGAAGGGGACTTCCCCGGTGGTCCAGTGGTTAAAACTCCATGCTCCCAATGCAAGGGGCATGAGTTCAATCCCTGGTCAGAGATCTAAGATCCTGCAAGCCACATGCTGTGAACAACAACAACAAAAAGATGAGGAGGCTTGATGAATGGTTAGGACTCAGATGGGCAGAGCATAGAAGAAGAATTGTAGGGACTAGGAATATAAAAGCAAAGACTTAAGGCTTTTAGAGAGAGAGTTAGAAGGCGAAATGAAGGACTGACTATTACTACAAACACTATTTTCTGGCTTCATTTCCATGGGAGACCGTTTTTGTCCCATAAAACAAAAGTCTGAAGACTTGATGAAGTACCGCCCATGCTCGATCACCAGCATATCCGCGTTCTTACCCTTGAGCACCTCATTGATATACTGGTTGAAGTAGTCAACTCTCTGGGAATCATTGATTAGGTCTTCACTCTCCGCTATGGGCATGCCGTTCCCGGCTAGGTAGATTGGAACTTTGCCTTTTGTGTATTCCAAGGATACAAAATTCAACAGCCTCCTTATGCCCCAGGGCACGACGCGAATCCAAGAGGATGCGGTCTGGGGCCACGTGGGGTCCACATGCTGGGCGAAGCCGCCGATGGTATCATAGCTGGGGATGCAGGTATCTCCTTGGGCCTTGCTGATGAGGCGAGAAGTGTAATGGGACAGACCCAGAAAATCAGCAGAGCCTTTCAAGAGCTGTTTCTCTGCCTCAGTGAACTCAGGGAGCTGGGCCACAGGACTGGGGCACTGCTCGTTCATCTGTTGGATCTGGGCCCTCAGGGCAGCCGGGTAGTCTCCATCCACGAAGATGGGGTGTGCAAACCAGCCCAGCATGAAGTGCAGGAAGCGTTCGGCGGCTCTCAGGTCCTCGGGCCTCTCTGGGGACAGGGGTTCTGCCCAATCCGAGTTCAGCACGATGCCCACACGGCCCTGCTGCTGTGGGCGGTGGTGGCTGTTGTAGTGGTGCCAAGCCCTGGCATGCGCCTTGAGGACCGCGTGAGCCACCTTGTGAGGAAGAGAGAAGGAAATGCAGGGCTTAGTGAGCCGCACCACCCACAAGTCAGCAACAAGTCAATGATAACGGTGTTAGTAACTTAACACCAAGGTGAATGATGGCAGCAAGTTATTAAAAGCAGTAAGACTGATGATGTCAACATCAACATATCAACACTGATGTCAGCAATGTCATCAAGTCATCAACAAGTTAACACCTACGTCACATTGGCAACAAATCAACAAAACATCAAGTCAACAGCACCAAAAAGAAGTTAAGACTGATGCTAGCAATAAAGGAGGCTAGAACATGGACAATGTTGACACCACCACCAGTGCCAGCAACATCAGCCACATGGACGATAGCCTCCCAAGTTAACAGCAACAATGTCCACAAGTGTTGACAACCAGCCAACACCACCATCAGATCATTCGCAATAGCACCACAACCACATCAACAATAACAAGGGTTAATGGCTTCTCTCGTGTGATCCTCACTTAGTTGGCAAGTACAAATACCATTTCTACAATACAGGTGCGGAACACAGATCCGGAGAAGGGGTAAATGCAGGCCATCTAACCCCAGGCTTCTACTGTCCTTCATGGTGCTATATGGCCTCTGTGCTCAGTAAGGGCTTATTGACTAACTAGCCAACAACTAATTGGAATCATTAGGGGGATCATTTTAGTTAACACAAAGAAGGGGAAAATTCCTTCTAGCCTGCCTGATCTCCTTTCTACTTAATGAAATCTAGGAAGAGAAACCACCACCAAAATCTGTGTGTAGACTCAACTCATGGTCTTACAAAAGTCAGCACGGTTCCTTGGCGGAGCTCCGTGAGACACTGGGCAAAGGTGGGGCGTGTGGAGCATAACAAGTCGAGATTTAAATCAACTCTGTCACATGCTCAGTAAATTCAAACCATCTTCTCTCTCAGCTTCAGCTTTGTCTGCAGGAAGTGGATCATTCTGGACCCTCCCAGAAGGGCTCAGTGCGGCTGTGTGGGCAGGGCAGAGAGCAGAGACTTGGGTGCGGGAAGGGGTTTGTTGCCACTGAGCTCCTTTTCCTTTTCATCATGTGAAGAGGCTGACACCTGTGTTTGAAGAATGTTGTACCAGAACATTGCTCCATGAAGAGGAGCTCCTGACTGCTTCTGGTGTACCAAATATTAGTTCTTAACTGGGCCCTGACCTCCAGCAGCAAACCGTGCTCCTTTCTTAAAAGCAGGAATGCTTCCCTTCTTAGCTTGCTGGTGTCAGGGCAAAACATGGAAGCAACCTAAATATCCATTGACAGAGGGATGAATAAACAAGATGCGGTACATCTGTACATTGGAATACTACTCAGCCAGAAGAAAAGGATGAAATCATGCCATCTGCAGCAACATGGATGCAACCAAAAATTATCATTCCAAGTGAAATATGTCAGAAAGAGAAAGACAAGTACCATATGATATTATATGTGGAATCTAAATATGGCACAAATGAACCTATCTACAAAAGAGAAATAGACTCACAGATACAGAGAATAGACTTGTGGTTGCCAGGGGGAAACAGGGATGGAGAGGGATGGAGTTTGGGGTTGGTAGAGGCAAACTATTATATATGGGATAGATAAACACCCATATATAATATAATATATATTATATACTATACTACTGTATAGTATAGGGAATTATATCCAATGTCCTGGGGTAAAACATAATGAAAAAGAATATTTAAAAAGGTATATATGTATATAACTGAGCTGCTTTGATATACAGCAGAGATTGGCACAGAACTGTAAATTAACTATACCTCAATAAAAACAACAGCAACAACAACAAAAATCAAAGGTACTATGCTGAGGGTACACTGTGAATGCAAGAAAACTGTGACTAGAATGAAATACTGGCAAGATTATGAGAGAGATCTTTTCTTTGAAAATTTTCCTTACTGGTATCATAATGTTTTATAAATAAAAGGAAGAATTGAGAGAGAAAAGTGAGGTGGACTTTCTCATCACAGTCTCTATAGGAAAATCTCAGGAGACATAGCTGTAGGGATAAGAAGCCTAAGGAGAAAAGGATGGGATGAGCTTCACAATAGAAACACAGAAAGGTCCAAACCTTCCCCTTTCAGGAGTGTTCTCTTTCTCCGTGGGTGTGGTGAACAAGTGTGCTGAACAAGAGCAGAATGGAAGCCTTGACTTAAGTGCTATGTGCTGGCATTATATTGAGTCACTTACAGAGCTCACTCTGGGCATATTTTGAATTGCTCCCTAATTTTCTAATATGTGTTAGTATCATTCCCCGCCCTCCAAACGTTTTAATATCTTGATGACTTATCTAGCATGGGGCACAGTGAACACTCCTGTCTTAGAACAGCTTGTGTGTGTTAGTCACTCAATCATGTCCTACTCCTTGTGACCCCACAGGCTGTAGCCCGCCAGGCTCCTCTGTCCATGGAATTCTCCAGGCAAGAGTACTGGAGTGGGTTGCCATTCCCTTCTCCAGGGGATCTTCCCGACCCAGGGATTGAACTCGGGTCTCCCTTATTGCAGGCAGATTCTTTACCACATGAGCCGCCAGGGAAGCCCATTTCAGAACAGAACCCAAAGTGTGGCCGGGGAAAGCCAGACTAACGTGCTTATCCTGAAGAATGTTGCCAGTGAAGCTGGTAGCTTTTCTGGGAGATTTTAAAGAAAAGGGAAGACGATGCTTGGGACCCATATGAAGATATTTAAAATTTTGTCTCCAGGGACTTCCCTGCTTAAGACTCTGCACCTGTACTGCAGGGGGCATCGGTTCAATCCCCGATTGGGAAACTAAGATCCCATATGCCACATGTGGCCAAAAAAAGAAAAAATATTTTGTTTTCAGGTTATACATCCCCTTCTTGTTGAAGTGATACTCTGATTGCCCCCTGGAAACATCAACTTCCTCCGTCCCCACCTCCCCATCTCTCAGCCAGTATTGAGGGGTAGAGCTGGGATCTGCCCTGAGCTTCACAGCCCCCTAGCCTAGACCCAGTGAGTGGTTCAGGGATGAGCATGCGACCCACACAGAGACCATGAGCACAGGAGACATTTGCCAGAACAGTGATAAGACATCTTTCCTGTTTTCTACTGATGTTGAAATATGGGAGAAGGATTGCAGCCATCTGGCAACTGGGAAGCCCAAGAATAAAGCCAAAGAGGGGAACAAGAGAAAAGGAAAAACTGAGTCCTGGTAACATCAACGCTGGTCCAAACAACTCTACTCTGATCGGCTACAACTAGGACTTTCCAGTTTCCTGAACTCAGAAATTCCCTCCTTGCTTTCAAGTCAGTTTAGGTTGGGTTTTCTGTGATTTGCAGTTAAGTCCTGGCTGACAAGGAAAGCTTGCTTTGGAGTCAAGTCGATTTGGGCTCAAAATGTTGGCTTCACACTGCTAGCCCACTATCAATGTCATCACAACCAAATTGCTTCTCCTCCTGAACCCCAGTTCCCTCATCTATCAGAGCTGTTCTGAGGATGCAGTAACAATTTTTAAAGTGCCAGAACAGCGTTTGGCACTTTTAACAATTTTAACAGCTCCTTCCCTCCCTCCAATTTTCTCTAAAGAAGAAAAAGGAAAGACTTGCTGATGGGAAGGTAAGAGAGTGTTTTTCCAACCAAATGCCCTTCCAACAGGTAGGCACGGCAAGGATGGGAAGTACCTTAAAAGAAGCCACCCCTGGGTCGGAGATGCCTGGTGCGTGCTGGCCGGTGCCGTAGCCCGCGTAGCTCATCACCCACGGCTCATGGAAGGTCACCCACAGCTTCACACGGTCCCCAAACGTGGAGAAGCAGAAGGCTGCGTAGTCCAGGAAGGCATCCACCACGTCCTCACTCTGCCACCCGCCGCGATCCTGCAGGGCCTGAGGCAGGTCCCAGTGGAAGAGCGTGGCCATGGGCTCGATCTGCCAGTGCAGCAGGCTGTCAATCAGCTTGTTGTAGTAGGCAACGCCCCGGGGGTGGGGGTCGTGCCCCCGCCCAGTGGGGAAGATGCGGGACCAGGAGATGGAGAACTTGTAGACCTGGGCCTGGAGCCCACGGAGCAGGGCGACGTCAGTGTCTATCTTGTGGTAGCTGTCGCTGGCCACCTCTGCTGTTGCTGGGCCCTTGGCAGTGTTCTGGGGCCCGACTCTGTCCCAGATGCTTGGCCCTCTTCCATCCTCGGCCCAGCCTCCTTCCACTTTAAAAGCTCCCGTGGAGACACCCCAGAGGAAGCCTTCAGGAAAAACGTCCTGCAGGAAAGCATCCCTTTCTGCCTTGGACTGGTTGGCAAACGCTTCCCAGACTCTCTGATAGGCTGAGCGGGGCGGCCAGGCGTCTACTGCTGTGTCCAGACCCAGCTGCAGGGCAGTCTGGAGGGTCAGGCCGTCACTCAGAGAACAAGACCAGCTGAGGGAGTGAAATGATATAAAGGGACATAATAAGTAACGACTCTAGTTTATAGGTGACCTGAGACTGATGAATGGTGAGAATGTGTTTAGTCAGTAAAGATTCCAATAACACTGACTCTAAGTGATGGGCAGGAAGTGACTGGGAGATGGAAAATTATTATTACTACCCCTTCTTAGGCAAGTTAGGATGAGATGGTTGAATGGCATCACCGACTCAATGGGCTTGAGTTTGAGTAAACTCCAGGAGTTGGTGATGGACAGGGAGGCCTGGTGTGCTGCAGTCCATGCGGTCACAAAGAGTTGAACAGGACTGATCATCTGAACTGAACTTAGGCAAGTTATCACTGCCCCTGCATAACTGGAAATACGGTGCTAATGCTACTATTCTCTGTATTAGACCACCCTTGAATACGGTCTTCAGTTCTGATGAAATTTTTCTTCTTATAATGTATATTTGTAAAACACAGCTAAAGATAATGACTTCAATTGTTGAGTCTTTTGATTCTATATTGGCCACTGTGATAAAAATGTCCATTAATTACCTCATTTAAATTTCAAAATAAGTGTATGAGACAGGCACCACATCATTTATCTTCTTCCTACAGAGAAGGAAACTGAGACTTAAAGAAGTGAGTAATTTCTGGGCATCAGGGGCCAGCAGCTGTTTGCCAGCTGGTACAGAAATATCTCAGTAATTGAACTACCAGTACAGCTCTACTGATGTATACCACTTCAATATAAACCCCAGCTGCAACCTCCTTTCTTCTTCATGTTGCCTGGGTTATGGTCATAATGGCAGGAGCTCAAGCATCCATCCAGCACCATGAGGTAGAAGTTTTGTCAAGGGTGACAAAGCAATGAGAGAGGAGCCTGGATTCCTGATGATTTTACCCACTCTAGACTGTCCATCTCTGGGCTTCATTTATGTCAATAAACTTTTATCTTTTTAAAAAATGAGAACTCCTTGATTATACAGCTTGCAAATGAGAGAGCTCAGAGTCTGTGCTTTGAACCACATATCACTATGTATATGTGCAGATGTGTGGACATTATATGCATATATGTGTTATGTTTTATGAACATAAATATTTATTCAGAAATAAATATATCTGAAATAAACATAGCTGAAATAAAACATAACATAGAAATGCTAGTTTGGGGGCTTCCCTTGTGGCTCAGTGGTGAAGAATCCGCCTGCTAATGCAGAAGACATGAGTCCGATCCCTGATTCAGGGAGATCCCACGTGCCTCAGAGCAGCGAGGCCTGTGCACCACAGCTTCAGAGTCTGTACTCTGGAGCCTGGGAGCTGCAACTATTGAGGACTTGTGCAGCAACTACTGAAGCCAGAGCGGCCTTGAGCCCATGTTCTGCAACAAGAGAAGCCACCGCAATGAGAAGCCTGCACACTGCAATGAGAAGTTGCATCGCTCCCGCTCTCTTCAACTAGAGAAAAGCCCGTGCAGCAATGAAAAGCCAGCTGAGCCAAAAATAAATAAAATTATTTTTAAAAAGCTGTTTTCATACACAACCAAGTCTGATATATTCTATTTAATTCTAGTCTGTTTTCCTTCTCCCTCCCCGTCGTGTGGGCTGGAGAGCAGAGCCTGAGAACTTGCGGCAGTTTCACCAGCAGGGGGCAGCCTTGAGAAGTGTTGGTAGAGGTGGGTGTGTCTAGCCTGGAGAAGAGAACACTCTAGCCTGGAGGGGAAGAGTTAAGAGCGCCTCCCTGTCCCCGGGCTCTCGAGTGGAGAGGGGCTGACCTTTTACAAGGCTGGCCCAGAGCGCAGAACTGGTACAGGGACCCTGCAGAAAGACCTCTCTCCCATGGAGTGGGGCCTGGGCCTCACAAATTTGTGTGTGTTAAACCCCTTCAGTCATGTCCGGCTCTGCGACCCTGTGGACTGTAGCTAGGCTCCAGTCCTACCTAGGACTAGGCTCCTCTGTCCATGGAATTCTCCAGGCGAGAATATCGGGGTGGATTGCCATGCCCTTCTCCAGGGTTCAAACTTTAAGCTCCTTCTGTTTTTATGAAGCATCAGCTCATCTGCCTTTGGTAGAAAAGTGGTGACGGGAAATGATGGCCTGTAGCTGTGGATTATCCAAAACAGATGCATGAGTCTGGAACGCATCAGGGACCCAGAGGAGTGCCCACTCAGCTGTTCTGACCCAACCCTTCTGATCATGACCGTCCTTCTGGCTTGGGTGCAAAGAGGTTTTCAAGAAATAAACTCCCCCTGGATAAAACAGAACTTGCCATACAGGCCTTGGAGCCTGGGTTTGCCTCACTTGGGTAGAGATTTAGCTCAAGAAGTCCATATGCCCAGCCTTCCAGGTGTCCCTCACTCCCTACTCTAACCCCTTAGAGCACCCCAGGTAATGCTCTCATCCTCTCCTCTGGGGAGCAGTGCTGTATCTCCTGCCACACTCTCTGCCAGAGTCACTGGTGGGCCTCTCTGTCTCATTTCTGAGTCTAAAACAGTCCAATGAGAAAATGATGTCTGTCCTCCCAGAACCCCCTTCCACCTGCCCCAGCACCTGCAGATTATCCATCAACATTCACCCACTCTCAGTTTGTTAGCCAACATTGGACCTTCCCTTCAGGAGAATTAGCAAGAGATCAAGCCGTTAGAAAGAGAACCCTGGAACTGATGTCTCATGTCATCTTGGGGTTTTATAATCACTGCTTTCTCAGACTGCCCCTTTTCTTATGACCTCTTCAGCTTTATTTTCCAAAAAACACAGCCCAGCACTCCTCAGCTGATTCCAAGCATAAACACAGAGCAGGTTTGACCTGCTTGCTCATGCAGTATACCTGCAATATACTTCTCATACTCTCAGCACAAAGCCTGACATGTGGCTGCCTAGGGTCTGGCGATGTGAACTGCTGATTTGAAGTGAGTTAAGAGGATTGAACAGTAGAGGGAGACATGGCTGAGGACAGCCAAGTGCTGGGAGAAAAAAAGGTACAAAGAGGTAGTGCACTGAAGCTATGATCTTGGACAGAACTATGCTAGAACTGTCTGCAGCGAGCTCTAGCTGAAGGTCTAGGAAGCTAATGGTTGCCCCTAATCCTTCCTTGACACAGGGTATGAGACATTCCATTGTGCATCATATTCCTGTGGAGTGCTGAGGGTTCTGGGAAACTCCCTGCACTGGCTTCCACACCAAGCTTTTCTCACTCGAGAAGTGCATTGGAATGTAAGTGCATGCACGCGTGGGCGCTGTCCCTCCAGTCATGTCCAACTCTTTGCAACCCTATGGACTGCAACCCACCAGGCTCCTCTGTCCATGGGATTCTCCAGACAAGAATACTGGAATGTGTTGCCTTGCCCTTCTCCAGGTAAGTGCAAGAGACTGACATGATTATGGAAATAACTGCAGATCTGCTCTTTTTTTTTTTTTTAGTATGTGTCTTACAAATTTTGTACTTTAGTCATGTGCTAAGAAATTATTTGCAATCCCACAATAATTTAAAAACTTTGTCCTGAGAAACCACTGAATTAGGCTTCTGCCTGGTGCACGGCTGACTTTCCCATCTATGCTGTCTCCTTGCAGGTAATATGCTTCATATTTCACGAGAAAATGGTGCAGAGAACTCACTTTACTCAGACCACATAACTTCAGGGATGGACAGGTCTATCATGAACCCAGCCTGCTCTTCATCATCTAACAATGCCTCCAACAAGATCTTAACTGGAAGGCAGGGGTTCAAACATCAGCTGTTAGTTGTGTGCACTTGGTGAACTAGAGGAGGCTGAATGATTGGTGAGAATGTCAGAACTGCATGGGGCCCAGGGACACTGTTCCCAGCTTTCCCCTCTGAGTCTCCATCTCTCGTGTCCAGAATGGCCACAAAGGACCCACTCATCCAAAAGGCACATGATAACAATCCCGTGAGTTTACACAGGTGAAGAACAGCTGAACGTTCCTGCAAACAGGAAATCTAACATTACCTTTTCTTGGAACTTGATGAACAGCTCAGGAAAGTACTAATATCAAACCCAATGATGAGCACTTGGTCTTCATTTATGGCTGTAAGAGAAGTAGTTTAATTTACTCCACCTGAAGCTCACCCAACTATGCATGACTGCCCATCAACAGTTCTCCTCACTCATATACCACAGCCAAACTCCAAGCAATGGTTCCAAGCCCCTCTGGAAAATTTCAAGGCTAAGATTTAAGGCGGTCACATGTGATTTTTTTTTTTTTCCTACTAAGAACAGCAGTTCTCAAACTTCCACGTGCATCAGCATCACCTGTGGAGCTTGTTCAATGCAGATTGCTGGGCCCACTCCCAGGTTTCTGAGCAGGGTTTTCTGATCTGAGGTGGGCTCTGGAATGTGAATATCTAACAAGTTCCCAGTGATGCTGATGCTGCTTTTCTAGAGACCAAACACAGAGAACAACTGACTCAGAAGACCTCAAACATGAGGAGAGGGTGGAATCTTTTTTCTAAGAAACTATAAACATAAGATTGACTATTTCAACCACTTAGAAAGGGATGGGATTTAAGAACAGAAATCATGACTCCAAAGATGACTTAGGGCAAGAGTTACTATGGCATCCATGGTTGTGGTTCATGAGGTCTGTGAAGCCAGCTCAGCACTGGTTATAGGTGATAGAAAGGGCACGACCAACATCTCCCATATTCTGACCTTACAGGGAGACTGAACTGGATATCAGGCACCCAGAAGCCTGCCCCCGATCCCTTCTTGCAGAGTGTCTACTGGTCCTCAGCTCCTGAGGCCTTAATGGACACCGCTTTCCCTTGACCAGATTGGACCAGGACACTCTTCTTTTTAATAATCATTTTAAAAATTTTTATGAAATGTAATGTTAACCTTTTTTATATGCTATACAGTATACGGGATCCTAATTCCCTGACCAGGGATCGAACCTGCAGCCCCAGCATTGGAAGCATGGAGTCTTAACCATTGGACCACCAAGGGAAGTCCCAGGAGAAGTCTTCTGATGCATGGCCCACCCATCAGATGCACTCTCAAGAATTTGAAATAAGAGACATTATGGAGATGGTCCATGAGTTGTGGGGTCCTATAACTGAAGACGCTGATCAGGCAATGGGGAAATGAACAAAAGTAAAAGTGTCTGGGGTGGGCAGAGAGCAGTCCTGCAAGGTGGGGCACAGATGAGAGACCCTAGAGGGAGGAGTAGTGGAAGCAGACAGATAGGCACAGGGCTGTTGCCAGGCTTACACCTGACGTCTCTGGCTTGATGGTCTTCATCTCCATGAGACCCTGGCATCCTTCACATGCTGTACAGATCTTCTCTTCTTTCTTGGGTCGGTGGGAACTAAATGACCAACAATAAGAAGGCAAGGAACACTACACGCATCTAGGTCAGGCTCTCAGACCAGACCTTCTTCGATCGCTCCTCCTGTTGGAACCCCAGACTCTCAAGATTGCTACCCTACAAGCCAAGGCACCAAACGTCACTGCAAACCTCTCCAGTGATGGTCCGCTCACCTCTGAGAAGGCTGAAGAGCAGCTGGGCTATGTTGTTCCTGGTGGAGGCGCAGTTCTGGAGTTTCAGACTGAAGATGAAAACTTTCACTTTTGGTTCAATGGTCTGAAAATGATATAGGCCAGTAAGTGAACCGAAGCTGCTGAGAGTAAGCTGTTAGTTAACAGGGACAGATTTTCAAGATGTGAAGCCACAACACTCAGTGTGGTTTTGGAAATGACCGCTAGCTATGTCAGTTAATAAAGGGAGCTGACTCCAGACTTGAGGGAGGAAAAAAACAACACTTTTCTATAACACAGGCCATTCTCTATACAGACCCCCGCCAAAGACATAGGTTCATCTATCCTGTCACCTCAGGCCACAAGGTACCTCCTAGAACTAGTCGCTGTATCAGGACCAGGAACAAGGCCGTCTGCCCATGTCAGGGGCCTGAGATACTACAAGAAGCTCCATCAGATGTTGCCGTCATGATGTTTATAACATCAAGGTTTTGCTTCAGAACAGTCTGGTTTGGGGAGCGGGGAGGTAGGGTATAAATGAAGCAAGATCAACCCTGAGGTGACAGCTTCTGAACCTGGAGATGGCTTCATTATGTTTTTCTTTCTACCATTGGATATGTCTGACATTTTCCATAAAGAAATTGAAAAGAAACTATCTTCATTAAAATTGGACCAGGTGTCATTTTTCTGCCATTTCTAGTCATTTCGGTATCAAAAGCAACATCTTTGGGCTGACAAGTTGTTTGACCTCATTTTAAGTTACTTTTTCTTGGGTTTGGTCCTTTTCCCCACACTATCTTCCCCTCCTCTGAATAGTTAACAGCCACTGAGAAATACCAACAGCAGCTACTCACACAGGAGCCTGGCAGGTTCTTTATTTTCTCAGAGCCACCAGTAACAATGAGGTGACTTAAGCTCTGAGAAAGAGAGTAACTGGCTCAGAACCAGTTAGTGGGGCTGTGACTCACGTAGCTTTGTTCCTTCCCTGTGCCGGGTCAGTGTGGTAAAGTCAAATTATTAAGGGAATAGAGGGTTTTCTCCTTCCCGGAAGATCCACGCATAGTGGGGCGGCCTGTGATGTCACAGGGCTGGAGAGCTAGAGGATCCGTCTGCTGAGTGGGGAATTCCCTGGGGAGCAGGGTTTCTTCTGAGAAGGGCATGCAGGACCCCCACACGCAGCTCCTGCAGAATCCAGAACCTGTGGACATGCGGTGGGTCCCCAGGCCCTAAGACACCTGTGTGCCGGTGGGGAGCGGCAGCTAAGGCTCAGAGAAGGGCATGCAGGTGCTCTGGGGAGAGTGGAGAGTGAGTGAGGGTTGGCTTGTTAAGGTAAATATTTCCGTGACCACATCTACGAAATGTCTTTTTCAATCTCAGAATGAACACGAATTCTGACTCTCAGTACCTTTCTACATGAGAGAGCAGAGGGTCCATGTGAATATTTACCTGAACAAGCCAACCCTTTTTATCCTTTCCAGAGAAGACTACCTAACCTCCAGGGGTTCTCTATGGGAATTTCCTCAGACAAAGCTGCATGTATGAAAGAAAGTGAAAGTGAAGTCGCTCAGTCATGTCTGACTCTTTGCGACCCCTTGGACTGTAGCCTACCATACTCCTCCATCCAGGGGATTTTCCAGGCAAGAGTACTGGAGTGGGTTACCATTTCCTTTTCCAGAGGATCTCCCCAACCCAGGGATCGAACCTGGGTCTCCTGCATTGTAGGCGGATGCTCTACCATCTGAGCCACCAGGGAAGTCTGTGTGTATACAGACTCTTTTTTTTGGCTGTGCTGCAAGGCTTGTGGGAACTTTGTTCCTTAACTAGGGATTGAACTCAGGCCCTTGGTAGTGATGAAAGCATGGAGTCCTAACCACTAGACCACCAGTTTATGCATCAGCTGAAGCATTAAATGCCTAGTACCAGGAACCTTTGCCATTCATCATCAATATGGAGAATAGCTTAAGTTACCTGCAGTTCACTCAACTTCAGTGGTAAATCTGCCTCATTGTGGCATTCATAAGATAAATCAAGAGAGATGAAGTCAACTGCATCCTGGAAATAAGCAAATAGAATCATTAGAACATAAACAATTTCAAGATGAAGAACTGCTCAGAACTGTTCTGTTTTTGTTTCTCTCCTTGTTACTAAGTGGAATACTCCAAACCGGGACTTTCCAAGGGAGAAGCAGGATGAGGAAAAGCTGGGGACAAGATGAGAATGTGTATGGGGTGTGCTTGTGTCGTGAGGAATGCATCATGTGTGCACTCAGCAAAGTGCTTGGCACACAGGAGGGGCTCAGTAAATGCATACGATTGAATGAGTGAGTGAGTGAGTAAAAGAAGTAGTGTGGGCCAGAAAGGGTGGGTTTCCACTGAGTGAGTAAACTCTAAAGGAAAGGGGTCAGAGGCCAGAGCTGCCCTGGGTGGAAGCCTTCTCATGGCCCTTCCACTCCGCAGGACGGAGGCTTTGGAGTTTCAGCCACCCACAGGCCACTTAGTAATCTCTGCAGACTCTACCAGAGTTTGGAGTTTTAATTGTAGGCTACAGTCACTGGCTACTTTCAAACCACAGCTTAAAGCCCACTCCCGTTGGCCCTAGCCTGGCCCACACTGTAATCCAAGAACAGAGCTCTCATGGTCCATGGACACCCCTATCTGTGCTCCAATTAAGGACATACCTCTCCACCCTGTCTATTTCTGCATATACTTTAAGACCTACAGATTCAGAGTCTCCACCCTTTTCAGCGAGTCATTTCTCTCCCGGCCACAACCAGACTGCTGCCGGTGTTCACCCCTTCTCTTCCCCTGGGACAAAGACTGTGGGTAATGGCACCTGGGAACAGCCCAGTGCACTGTGACCTTAGATAAGTGACTCTCCACTGCTCCCCGTGGCTTTTCCAATCAAGTTATTGTCATGTGTACCCAACATTCCACAGGCTTGCTCCCCACTGGCAAGCTCCACTGAAACATTCCCCTTGGCCCCCTCGGCCCTTGCTTTGTCTATCAGCTTCACGCAGCATGTGATCATCGACTTCATGCTCTTGAAAGTCACTGTGCTGTGTTTAAAGATGAGTAGGATCCACAGAAACTTACAACTTGATAGAGTTAGTAAATGTACTGACCACATGAAGAACAGGCAGGAAGTTCTAAGTGATATAAGAAAAGTCCACACCTCAAATCTTGGCACAGAGAAGGCAATGGCACCCCACTCCAGTACTCTTGCCTGGAAAATCCCATGGATGGAGGAGCCTGGTGGGCTGCAGTCCATGGGGTCGCGGAGAGTAGGACACGACTGAGCGACTTCACTTTCACTTTTCACTTTCGTGCATTGGAGAAGGAAATGGCAACCCACTCCAGGGTTCCTGCCTGGAGAATCCCAGGGACGGGGGAGCCTGGTGGGCTGCCTTCTATGGGGTCGCACAGAGTCGGACACGACTGAAGTGACTCAGCAACAGCAGCAGCAAATCTTGGTGGGAATTAGACTCACCTGGGAATGTGGGAAGGCTCTGAAAGCCCAGGACGTCCCCCCACGTTTTGTACTTTATTGGCTCTCCAGGTGATTCTGATGCCAAAATTTGAGAACTGCTGATCTAAACAAATGGCTAAAATGTTCCAAGCGGGTAGAGACCACATCAGGTTTAGTGGGAAGTGTTATTAACAGAAGCCTCTTTATGGTTGGCATATTCACACTGATGTTAAAAATGGGTAGAATTTTGTTGGGAGAGATTTGAGGAAGGCAAGGAGGATAGGACTTCAGGTAGGGGATGCCGGAGAGCTGGTGGAGAGCACAGCATACACAATTGGGAAAAGGTAAGGCCAGAGAGACAGCAAGAGGGTCTTGGTGAGCCGCATTCTGGAAGGCTCTGAGGAATTTCACCATTTCAGGGCAATGTAGCTTCTCAGCAGGGAATTCAGCAAAAGATGCATTGCATGGGTGGGGGGCGGACTAGGGGCAGAGAGACCAGTTCAAAGACTACTGCTTGACAAGCATTTTCTGATCAGCACTTTGGTCTCCTGAGCTCATAACTGATAGCAGTTATCACCCCTTGTAAAAGAATTTAGATATTCTGGTATTTTGGTCATACTATCAGTCTTGGACCTGGTCATTTCAGAACCTTATCATGTCTGGTTTTTAAATCCCTGAGCTTGTAAATCTGAAGTTGGACCTTGACATATGGGGCCTCCATCCCAGCAGAGACACAGGGCCGCACAACCACAGGAATCAGGTGTCTTCTCAGAGGGCTTTCCACGCCGCCCAGCAGTCAACATCACAAGGGCCAAAGCTGTTAAATGCTCAAATGTTTTAACGTTTCTTACGAAAATTATAGTTAAAAGTTGTTTTTAGAGGAGATAGAAAGCAGGATGGGCACTCCAGGGACCACATTATTATTGTTATTAAAAAAAAGAAAAAAACCTCTTACCCTAGTATCTGTTTTGCTAAAAAACAAACAAAAAATACAAAACTGACTTCTCTTCTGATAAGCTCTTTTTAAGAAGGAGCAAGACCAGAGGCATTTGGTGTCTTTGTGTAGGCAAAAGCTGACACTTGACCAAGTGAGAGCTGGGGCTACAACAAATAAGACTTTGTTTTAAAGTAATTATAAACCTAGAGAATGCATAACACTCAGAAGAGGCATTTGTAAGAATGTCAAGAAAATCATTATTTGTAGGACGGATAAACAAGGTCCTTCTGTATAGCACAGGGAACTATATTTAATATCCTGTGATAAACCAGAATGGAAAAGAATGTGTATATATATATACACACATACATGCACACACATATATATAATATATATAACTGAATCATTTTTCTGTACAGTAGAAATTAACATGGCATTGTAGGTCAAGTACACGTCAAAAAAATGAATTTAAAAAGAAAGAATGTCAAGTCGACAAAAATTTCTTTTTTTTTTTTAAAATTAAACTTGCAACTTTTCTCAGAAGTTACAGATTCTCTTTCTTTTTGCTGTCATTACCTTGACAAGCGCAGATGTAGATGGTTCTAGCAGGGGCTTGGAGACTGTCTCAGCTTGCAGGACCATAGAGAGTTTTCCACCTGAAACCAACCAGACGAGGGGATGTCAGTGAGAGAGGAAGGAGGCTGTGACCCCAGAAGCCACTGGTGAACTCGTTTTCTATTGGCCTTTCTAGTCCATGTTCACCAACGTTAAAAAAGATTTCTGCAGAAATCACTCACATGATTTTACTCTAGCTGAAAGATTTTAGAAAACAAGGTAACTTTTTAAGAAATGTCCCTTTAGAGACTGTTTCATGTAAATCAGAACGGTGAAGTGCAAGACACTTGTAAAGTCTTTTGCAAGAATAAAAACAGTTCCTTTCCCTAACCCCACACAATGTAAAAGGCAGAATGGAGAGAACTGTGTCTCAGTTCCTAATAAACCTTGGCCTCTGCGTGCTTTACAAGCTCTCCAGGTGATTCTCACACACACTAAGTCTTGGGAACTGTTGGTCTAAACAACAGCTCAGAGTTCCAAGTGGAGAGACTTTGGAAAGGTGTGGTGTTCTCAGGGGGCTGATGTTACCTGTCCTTATTCACTGTGCAGACGTCCATTCAACCCTTACTGTGCATTGAGGAGAATATGAAGGAAATAAAGACCTGTGCGGCTTGTACCCTCTCACTTTGACATTTGATCACCTAACAGTGGTGTGGAAGCTTATGTACATCAGAATCACCTGTCCTTCTTGTCAGCTGACTGGGGTGGACCTAGGAATGAGAGACTTTTAACAAGCTTCCTGGGTGCTTCAGATACAGTGGTGCTCAGACCACAGTTTGAAACACGCTGCTGTGGGCTTCTTAGGTGGCTTAGTGGCAAAGAATCCACCTGCCAATGCAGGAGATGCAGGAGACGTGGGTTTCATCCCTAGGTAGGGAAGATCCCCTGGAAGAGGAAATGGCAACCCACTCCAGTATTGTTTCCTGGAAAATCCTGTGGACAAAGGAGCCTGGCAGGCTACAATCGAAGGTGTTGCAAAGAATTGGACATGACTGAGCATGCACCCATTCATGTGGTGGACTTGGGATGCCTCAGTTGTTAGAAGCACCAGCTAACTCCTTGATGCACAAAAGTCTTTATCTCCTGCTGAGATTGTGTGCTCCCTGAGGAGCAAGCTTCATTTCTTGAGTCTCTCCAAATAGCAAGCTTAGGATGGGTGCCTAGGCAGGTGCTCAGACCTGTGCTTTGGAAAGAGTAAACAAAATGGCCTAAAGCCAGAGTTTGAGACTTAAAATACAAGATTATATGCCTGACCTCTCTCCTACATTCAAATTCCATACAGGAGAAAGATCTCCTCAGTCAATGAAACCACTATTAATAACCGCCGCCAACTACTGAAGTGCTTATTTTGATAAGCATAATGGAACTTTGAAATCCTCTGAGCACGGAATATCACTCAGAGACATTTGGTCCTCATTCTGATAAGATAATACTATTTTCCAGTTATTCAGTGATTGTGCCCCATGGAGCCATTTCACCTTCCACAGATTTTTCCACACTTCAGTCTATCATCACATCAGCACACGTAGAACATATGTTCTCAGCCTGTGCTGAACATTTTTAAATGTCCACTTTAGTATTATCTCTGGATCAAGGACATGACACAGGGGGACAGTTAATCCCTAAGTGCAGTTGACTCACACATCACTCCTATTTGACTTTACAAGCTGTTTTTAAACTCAGAGTGAACAAACGTACCTGAGGTTCCAGAAAGTCTCATATCATACAAAATAAACTTTCCGATATTATTCCTAACTGGTTTCTAGGGCAAGCACAAACTATACTTCTTAAAATAATGTAAAATGCAGGTTACTCAAACCTGGAACCTCATTCTAAGCTGGCAGTTCATGTTTCTTTGGGACTGAAGTAGGGGGTAATTGCACTGGCTTAAGATAATTTATCTTGTAATTTTTGCTGGATATGGTTAAAGGTCAGTGTTCTTGTCTACAGAACTCAAAATCAGTATTTGCTGGGGGTTGAGTATTAACTGTTTCAGGCCCATGGTAGTGTGTGAGTTCGTGTCCCTCACAGGTATTACTAGATTTTGTTTAAGGATGCACTCAGTTCTGTTTCCATCACACAGGTATGTCCTTCCTCTAAAGCCATTGTTACTGTTCATACAAGACAGCCTCTGTTTGTTTGCTCCTCTCCCTTTTGCCCCAAATGTTTAAATAAAACCAATCAATCAGGCCAGTACTGAACTGCCAGTATCAATGCTTCGAGAGGAGGGTGGGAGTTCCCAGTGTCGCCCTACATGGTGTTCCAGTGTTGGCAGGTAGGAGGCGCTGTGTGCAACTCGACTCTTCCTGTGAGAGAGACGTTCGCCCTCCTGCCGGCCTTCCAACTAACCCTCTGCCAAGAATCTTCCTTCATATCCTTCCCACGGTAGGGCATTGAAAACTTGAGCAGGAGGTTTATAACAACATACAGTCATTAGAGAAGAACTTCTCAAATTTGTGGTAAAAATACATAACATAAAATTCACCATTATATTTTTTTCAAGTGGCTTTGTTGTGCAACTGTCACCACCATCCGCCTCCCCAAATATCCATTTCAAACTGAAACTCCGGGTCCATGAATACTTCCCCATTCCCTCCTCCACCCAGTCTCTGGTAATCATTATTCTACTTTCTGTCTCTGTGAGTTTGATCATTCTAGGTCCTTCATATAGGTGGAGTCATACAATATTTATCCTTTTGTGTCTGGCTTATTTCACTTAGTGTAGTGTACTCAAGGTTCATCCATGCTGTAGCATGTGTCAGAATTTCATCTAAGGCTGAATAACATTCAATTGTAGCATGTTTTATTTATCCATTCATCCTTGTATGGGCGTATAGATTATTTTCATCTTTTGATGGCTTTGAATAACGCCATGAAAACGGTTGTGCAAATATCTGTTCAAGTTCCTGCTTTCAATTCCTTTGGGTGTATACCCACAAGTGCCAGACCATATAGTAATTGTACGCTCAATTTCTTGAGGAACTGTCATACAGTTTTCCATAGTGGATACACCATTTACATCCCGGCCACGAATGCACAGGGTTGTAACTTCTCTCACAGCTCAGAGGAGCCTACAGAGATATGACAACTAAATATAATGTGGTATCTTGGATGAGATGCTAGAGTAGAAAAAGGACATGCAGGAGAAATTAAGGAAATCTGAATAAAACATGGACTTTTGTTAGTAATAGGGTATCAACATTGGTTCTTTAATTGCAAAAAATGTCCCATAATAATATAAGATGTTTATATTAAGGGAAACAGGTTTTAGGGACAGGGACATATGGAAACTCTGTACTATCTGCTCAAATTTTCTATAAATCTAAAACTGTTCTAAAAAGTAATGTTATTGTAGGATGTATGCAATCTTGAAACAAGTCACTACTTCAGTTATTTCAGTGAGTTACTGGGATCCTTCAAATTTTGGATTCAAGTGAATTTAGGTAAAGGAAAGTACTTTTTAAAATAGCCAAATAAATTCAAATCACCAACTCAATCTGTCTTCAAAGTAGTTGTTTGGTTTAACATTTTCTCACATACCTATAACTCAAAAAACATGTAAATAAAGAACTAAAGTAATAAAAAGTAAAAATGCTTTAAAGGTTTGCTTGTATTGATAGACTATCTTCCTATGGATATATTACCAACATGCTGAACAAATTGCTCCCTTGGCCCTGGATATGCAAAACAAGTAAAAATCAAAACAAACAAAAAAGTAATATTAATTTTTTAAAAGTCTTGATTAGAAAGGAAAAAACTTTTAACCACCAATAGCTTTTAATTTTTCAGGTTATCTCTGACTTTTAAATGATTACCCCTTAATCTTTAAGAAATATCAACAATGACACAATGACAGAAAATGACTAAATAATGTGCTTGGAAAGATGTACAATTACCTAATATCTTTGAGATTCACAGTAGAGGGGAAAGGGATTGGGGGCTTCTCTGGTGGCTCAGTGATAAAGAATTCGCCTGCCAGCGCAGAAGATACAGTTTTGATCCCTGATCCGGGAAGATCTCGCATGCCTCAGAGCAACAAAGCCTGTGTGCCACAACTACTGAGTCTGCACTCTAGACCCCAGTGTCCGCAACTCCTGAGCAAATGAGCCACAGTTACTGAAGTCTGAGCGCCCTAGAGCTCATGCTTGCAACAAGCGAAGCCACCGCAATGAGAAGCCTGCACATTGCAACTAGAGAGTAGCCCCCACTCACTGCAACTAGAGAAAAAGCCCACGCAGTAAAGAAGACCAGCACAGCCCAAAATAAATAAATGCACAAAATTATTTTAAGAAATGATACAAATGAACTTATAAAAAAATCTACCAAAAGAAAAGATTGATAATTTTGTATAAAGTAAGAAATTCTGTTCCTCAAAGTCTCCATGAAAAAATTGAAAAGATAAGAAGTGGAAAAATACCACCATCCCATATACCCAATGCAGATTAAAGAATATATAAAGTATTCCAACAAGTCAAAACATAAATGGATAAAAATCAAAACAGGAATTATACAAAAGAAATAAATATGGCTAATAAACACATGAAGACCTGCTCAATCTGAATAGGAATCAGGTAAAGAAGATGATAAAGGCTGACAAAGAAATATTTTTACATCTGTAAGATAGGAAAAAATTTATAATTTTGGTAATTACACGTGTTGGAAGAGGTCAACAGGAACTTACACATTGCTCAGGGAAATGTAAGTTGGTATAACCACAACGGAAAACAACTTATCTCTCACAGCTAAATATTTACATCCCCCCAATTAACAATCACTTGAGTATAAACACAAGTGAAATTCTTAAACATATGCAGAAAGAAGCATGTGCAAGAATGTTCATAATGGCTATGTCCATAATAGCAAAATTTGAAAACTAGAATGTCCATAAGCAGGAAAATGAATTAATAAAACTTGGCTTAGTCCCACAGTAGAATATCATTTAACAGTGAAAAGAAGATGATATAGCTCTATCCAACAATATGAATAAGCCTTGGAAACAGCTTTGTTTGAACAAAAAAGTCCTAGAGGACTACAAAAAGTA